TAACTACTACTCATTCAATGCTGTCATAACTTTGAACAATCTCTGAATGAATGGTTGTGATTGGAGGACCATGTTTATTAGAACAGAATGAAGTGCTAGAGACCATCTGCTCTGAAGGGCTCAAGACAACTCAGGTTGGGAAACAATTTTGAATTGAAACTGGAAATCATAGGCACCAGGTCAATTTACAATATGTTTAGGGGTGAGAGAAAAATAATGTAATCTGTTTCTGCACTGGTAATAGGCCAAGCAGAACGTGCAGATCTGATCTTAGTCAGAGGACAGGTTGTTCTTTACTTCTAAATGCTGTTTGTTTCTGTAATACTTTTCAACAGATCAGTTTCATACTCAATAAAAATACAACATTGGGCTCGCACAGAATAGGAGTGAAACCAACATCTTTATTTTGTTGCTTAAACCCTAATTTTAAACCCAGCTCCGGTACTGGAAATGAACCAAGCAGAGCAAAAAAAAGAAAAGAAAAGAGAGAGTGAAAGACAGAAGGGGGAGAAGGGTTTTATTCCTATTCTACCCTCACATTCCTTTCAGCAATAAATGTCTGCTTTATAGCCAGAATGGTAACCATATGTGTAACAAACATGCACATGTCTGGCTTAGGCGTTGCAATCCAATCCAATAACCTTGTGGAATAACACAGATTCAGACAACCCCTGATCAAGCACAGACCGAAGAACAAATTCTACAGCAGCATTCAATAAAGTTGTAGAAGATATTTTGAAACGTCGATAGTCATTATGTCCTTCAAATGAAACTATCCCTTGTATATTTGAGCATCACAAGTCATCCAAAAACATGCAGTTTCCTACTGAGTATGTATCTATGAAATAAGGATAACAACATAAAAGTAAAAATCCAACATGGATGTTAATATATGCTTGAAAGAAATTCTTGTAATGTGATACAATTTCTTGCAAATAAACTGAACTGTCTACCCAAGCAATAAAGCATTATCCTAACAAAATTAAATGTTTCCATAAATAATTATCCATTTTGAGTACTGTACATGATTTTTGTAAAGTAACAGTGTAACCATATGGGGACTTATGCTGACCTTGTGAAATGAAACAAAATGTTAAAAAGTTACATTTATGTAGTTACTTACCAAGCTCATCTAAATCATATTAAAGTAACCAATATATCTTTATAGTCACAAGGCATGTCACAACTTTTGAGCACCCCTAATGTTTGGAGATTGAAAGTTGAAAAATTTGACACGCCCTGTAAGTAACCAAAAGTGCTTTTTCTCCATTTTACTTGGATACTACAAAATGCACAGTATGTTCAATATACTTCTGATTATAAGCAATGGTTGCAAAATCAACTTGTTCATGATTTGAGTTACATAAAATAAAGTGAATTATATATACATTTTTCCTATCAGGAATGTTTTAAACTAAGAAGTTGTTCTATTTTTTAAATGAGTTTTTTTCTTGTGTTTATTCCTAAATATTGGACTTATGGAGACACCTAGTGGTTTTGCAAGTAAAAGTGAAATTTACAAATTAGGAACATTGTGTGCATACTGTATGTGCTTGTTCTCTACTCATTTGAGCCATTGCTTTTTTATTAATTACATAAGAAGCCAATTGTTTCAGAATGCAATTATTAGGCTTCAGTTCTAGTATGCCCTACTGAAAATAAGGATTGAAAGTGGGATTTAGATTTAAGTAACTATACATTGGATCAATTTACATTTCATTTACATGTAAAACAATGAAAGTGAAATAATTTCTTATAAAGACCATATAAAAGTTTATACTAAATTGTTTCACAAAGCATACTAAACTGTCCTTTGTATACTTCATAATGCAAGACTACCTGGAAATTTTAATCCTATATTAAGGACTGTACACTACAAGTACAACTGTGTTGTACTTGTAGTGCCAGTGAATCAGGCTTGTCTCCTGGCAAATAAGGACAAGATGGTAAGCATCTTCACCTGTGCCTGGAACAATTTAAAACTTTTTCATTCCATTCATCCAATTATTTGTCTTCCTCTTTCTTCCTACTTTGCCAATGATGTAGCCTGTAGTCTGCCCCATCAGATATGGAACATATGTGAGATTTTGTTTTCTGATAAATAAGGGGGGGGGATCAGCCTTTATTTGGTCCAGGATGGATTGATTAGTTCTTCTGGTAGAGATAATTGCTGTAATTGTTCTGAACTTAGTTTCCCTGGTATGTCCTTATCCTTTATAATCTTGTATAACTGACATTCTTCATTTGGATTTTTTGTTCATCTTCTTCCTCCCTAACCATCTTTATTTCTGAGTGGAAGGAAATAAAACTATCATTGTTTTTTCCACCATCAAGTTTAAATTTACTTTGTATTCAGGTTGAGACTACTGCATACTATATGTATTTCATATTTCTACACTTCAGTCCTGACTCTTGAAATTAACATAGGTGTAGTAAAACATCTGTATGTGTGTACATAGTTTACTATATTTACCATGGATGAAAACACTAATAATCAAATTTATGGCACAAAGCTTTAATCAATTCCCTTTAAAAAAAACAACACATTCAACACAGATGTTCCTTAGTCTTCAGAAGACTTTGGTTTTTATCATTTTATTAAACAAAATCAAAGTAATTTCAATCAGGGGAGTGGGTGCTGCAACTGAAACACAACAGTACTTTAAATTGCCAGAATTTTCTTAGAACACTAATAGGAACCAATGCCAATTCTATAGTTGTCAGCCCCACTAAGACCAGACCAGTGGTGGAATCCAGCTGGATCTTCCGGCTCATGCAATCCGGTAGGGCCGGTGGCAGGAGGCTCCGCCCACCCACTTGGACATCATCATGTCACGTTTTTGACCCTCTGCGCATGTGCAGAAGGTTCTTGTGAGTCTGATTGTGTTGTACCTCCTTGTGCTGTACCTTATTCTTCTAATAATTCAGTGAATAAGGAAGGCATCTGATAACACTTTCAAGTTCCAGACTTTAAAAAACCTTCAACTCCTTTTGCTTTAGTAATAATTCCTGCATATTTACATCACAGTTTTGCCACTTTTACAATCAATTCACTGGTTTGTTAAACATATTTGAAAAAAAGTAAAATGTTTTCACAGCCAGGAGGTGAAACGTTGAGTATTCCTTACTTGAAGCACTAGGAACAACTTAATAAGGATCTGAAACCCATATGCATTTTTAGCCCCAAAGCAAGATTTGCATTATCATGTACAAACATTTAGGAGAATTGTTTCAGCAAAACATGTCTTTTGCATGGCATATACTGTGCTTCTGTTCTTACTCCCTCTTCTTCTATCTGTATTCATTTGCCAAATTAAAGTAAGACTTTATGCTTGTTCCATAATGCATCTGTTAATCATCAGAGTCACAAAACACTTTGTTGTTTCCCCAGATCATAAATCTCCATCAAAAGGAGACTGTTCCTTTCAAAATATACATCTGAGGTTCTCTCTAATCAAAACCATTCTTTTGTGCAACATAAGTTAATTGGCATGACTGCAAGTCACATTTAAAGCCAGGAATTAGGACGTCTTTTGCTAGTTTTTCAGAAGTGTTCTATTTATTTATTGGTTTTTCAAGTTCCTCATAGATTTTCCACTAAAACAAGAGATAAAGTCAGTTTTGCTGTAAAAACTTCCTTTTGCCATTAATTTTTCATCCTGTGATATCCTTGGAAAGAAAGTAAGCAGGTCCTATGTCCATGATGGCAAACCTATGGCACACGTGCCACAGATGGCACGCGGAGCCATATCTGTGGGCATGCAAGTGTTGCCCTAACTCAGCTCCAGCACACATGCACACCCCGGCCAGCTGATTTTCGGGCCTTCCAGGGTCACCAGAAATAGGGAAACAGCCTCCAAAGTGCCTCCAGGCTCCAAAGCCTCCAAAGGGCCTCCAGGGGGGTTTCCGGCCTCCAAAGGGCCTCCAGGGGGGTGGGGGAGGCTGTTTTCGCCCTCCCCAGGCTCCAAGAAAGCATCTGGAGCCTGGGGAAGAGTGAAAAGCGGGCCTTCTGGGCCCACCGGAAGTTGGGAAATGGGTTGTTTCTGGCTTCCGGAGGGCCTCTGGGGGGGTGGGGGAGGCCGTTTTTGCCCTCCTCAGGCACCAAGAAAGCAAAAAATGGGCCTACCATGCTATCGCATGCCAAAAGTGGGGAGAGTGCGGGGGGGGGGGGTTTGGGCGTGCATAGGCAGAGGGGTGGGGCATGGGGGGATTGAATTATGGGTGTGGGCACGTGTGCATGTGACACCCCCCCCATGCTCCCCCGCTTTTGGCACGCAATGGCAAAAAGGTTAGCCATCACTGTCCTATGTGATTAAACAGGGGATTTATTTTAACCAGAAATTTTACACCTGATCTTAAGAAGAATAAAGGCTCCAATTCAAATGTATGCGGTCCTTTATGCTCATAGAGCTGTTGTTTTTTCCCCAAAAGCCTTTTGATGTTGTTTTACAGACAGCATATGCACCAAGACAAATTCCTTGTGTGTCCAATCACACTTGGCCAATAAAGAATTCTATTCTATTCTATTCTTCAAAGGAGAAATGATCACGTGGGGCAAAAAAAAAAAGGGTGGAAACCTGATTTTGCGCTCGTTGTGTATTTTTTTTTATTACTTTGAATAAGTAATAAATGGCTTAAATCAGCGTATTTCAAACTTCAAAACTTTTAAGATGTGTGGACTTCAACTCCCACAATTCCTTTGGACTCCAATTATTAAACAAAAAAAAACTATGCAGGAACTACAGCTATTACCAAAAAAATGCATTTCTCTTATGTTCTGTTCTGTGGTTTTTCAACCTTTAATAGGGGGGAGGAGAGAGCCATCCGTGGCTGATACAATCCTTATTCTTTTTTTTTTTTCGTTTGTTGCAGAGGAAAAGGAAGGAGGATTCGGGCACTCTCCACGTGCAGGTTTAGAGGGACGGGCCAAGGGTCGCTCTCCCCTTTTCGCCACCAAGTTGCTTGCCTTTCCACCCCCGCCGCCCTGGCAATGGTTTTGCCCGGGAGCAAAGCATAAAGCATAAAGGGAAGCGAAGGCCGGGGAGGCCGTCCTTCTCTTTCTGGCGCGCGAGGGGAGTTGGGTTGTCTCGATGGCTATGGAGGTAAAAGCAAAGCGGGCGAGGAAAGATCTGCGGGTGGAGGCGAGGAGGGCAGCCTGCATTTGGCCCACCCAACTGGTGGAGCCTGCAAGCCTGGGAGAGGATGGAGGGAGGGAAGAGCGCGGAGACAAAAGACGGTGTCTTTAGGGCCGGGGAAAGATAACCAGAAACCGCTCCGGTAACGTTGCACTACAACTCCCGGAATTGCGGGTGTAAACAAGCGCGGCGCTTCAGGGTCGGGGAAAGCAGACTTGCAAACGTTGCAATATATATATATATATATATACACAGACATACATACACACACACACACACACACACATATATACCCCTACGGTAGAGCTTTACTCCCGCGGCTCCAGTTACTTGCGATGTATGTATCGCTATATATATATATATATATATATCGCTATGCAAAAAATTAAAATCTCGGGTGTTTTCCCGCGTCATTATAAATAAGTTGGTTAAAATATTTAAAATCTTAAAATTTTAAATATTTTAACCAACTTATTTATAATGACGCGGGAAAACACCCGAGATTTTAATTTTTTGCATATGCACACCGCGAAAATTTAAGAAGACATATATCGCTATATATAGATAGATATATAGATAGATAGATTGCAATATATATGTATATATATATATAGCAATATATATATATCGCAAGTAACTGGAGCCGCGGGAGTAAAGCTCTACCGTAGGGGTCTGCAACCTTGGCAACTTTAAGCCTGGCGGACTTCAATTCCCAGAATTCCCCAGCCCAGCCAGCTGGCTGGGGAATTCTGGGAGTTGAAGTCCGCCAGGCTTAAAGTTGCCAAGGTTGCAGACCCCTGCTCTACCGCATCGGCATTAGACCGCTAATCCTTTGCCGCAGTTCACGTCCCCCACCCCGCTTGAACCGCTCGTTAATGCAGCGCGCCGATAAGGAACTTTTTTAAATCGGGCGCAAAATGAGAGGAGGGGGGGGAAGAAACGGTCGCGCGGGCCTATCCTGAGGTAAGAAGTAAGAAAACGTGCTTCCGTTTCTCTCTACATAAGGCAACGAAGCGCCCTGGTTTAGGCGCGAGGCGAAAGCCTTGGAGGCTGCCCCGGCGGAAGTTGGGAGCGCGAGGAAGGCTTCCCCGCCATCCGTCGTGACGTCGCGCTGCGAAGGCGCGCGCCTGGCCGCCGATTGCGAGAGGCGCGAGACCAAGTAGGAACCACGTGGTGAGTCTTGAACTCAAACCTGCGTCCGCTGGAGGTATAATGCAGGTGTGTGATTTTATTTTTATTTTTTTTGCTTAGGCAGACATTATTCCAAGTGCCTTGTACCCAAATTGATGCCTTTCTGATGAGTTGAACCTCAGCAATAATTCCCAACCCTAACTTTTAAGATAGGTGTGGACTCCACCTCCCAGATTCCACAGCCAGTATGCTGATTGAGGAATTCTGGAAGGATGTAAATAGAAACAGAGTTGGAAGGGACCTTGGAGATCATCTAGTCCAGCCCCCTGCTCACGCAGGAGACTTGTACTAGGGATTCGAACCGCCGACCTTTCTGTCTTAAAAGTTGCCAGTTGAGAAACATTGAGCTAGAGAGTCACATTTTCTTGGCAGTGTGAGTATGACACTCTTGATAAGCTCCATGCACAAAGCGATGGCTTTTTTTTTTAACTGCATGATTTGGGAGCATGTAAAGCACACACACATTTGTGCAGTTAATTTCTGTTCTTGCCTTTTAGTGTTGCCCATTCGTTTTGGTTGCTAATGAATGCGGTGTCAGAAAAGGCATAAAGCAAGTTTCCCCGATTGCAGCCTTTTTCTTTGCAACACTAGGGATGATTCCCTTGGAGTTTGCTGTGTGTGGAACAAAACTATGCTTATTCTAAAACCAAAGATAACTTTAAATACAGCATTGTGTAAGTTGCTTTAAAAATAATGCTCTTTACATTAAAAAAACATTGCTTTTGGAAACATTTACTAGTGCAGTTGATAATCTGTTCCATGCTAGGATTACTGAGAGGGACAAGCGATTGAAAAAAAAATAATCTCCAGCCTACCCCTTGCATGTCCTGAATCACTTTATTCCCACTTTGAATCTGGATCACTGTACAGCATTATTATTCATTTCAGATCTTCAGAGCCAGGAGATAATAGGGAAAGCAATTGTCCACTTTTACTGAAAAAGATCGTGATATAGTGGTTAGGATTTGGAAAATTTGTGTTCAAGAACCTACTTGTCCTCATTAATTGTATAGCTTTTGAGCAGTCCACTAATTCTTAATGTTGTTTACCTAAGGGTTGTTGAGAGAAGAAAAATGGAAGTGCTTCATGTAGACCACCTGTTCACAGAGGAAAACTGCAATAGTAAACTGTTTTCCTGAAGAAATTACTTTCGTAGTAGGCTACTTGCTTGGGCAGCTCCTTAAGCAGTACTCCATAATTGTTTTCTATATTAATATTTGAAGTTCCACAACTAAAGAAGCAACTATATTTGTCAAAGTTTCCTTTCTCTTCTCTCCCTTTAGTTCAGGTTGTAACTATGAGATTTTATTACTACTGTAGAATGTTTGCAGCAATACAAGTAATGATCTAAAGATTCAATTTTTTGGTGTGTTTTTCAGATGTAAGCAGAAAAGGCTGCCATTTTGAATGAAAACTGCTTAGGATACAAAAGGTATGGATCTTACAAAAAGCTTTATTTCTTATCAGATAAAAGATTAAAAATTAGATTTTCATGATGTAATATTTTGCCTTTGTGTTGCCCATTCACACTGCCTTTGGTGAATGTGGTGTCAGAAAAGGCATATATCAACTCTAGTTGTCATGTTTCATGAATGGATATTCAATTTTTTTCTGCATTTCAGCTAGAACATACTCCTTTGAAGAAAATTATGCTCATTCAGCATCTGCAGGGGATAGTTACATGTTTAAATTTTGACATTAATTCATAGATATGATCTTTATTCTTTGTCTCAAGTCAGAATATATCTGAAATATGTCTTTTGTTCCTATGGTTTTTATTTCATCTATATTTTGGCATTCAATTAATATCATTACTGTAATTTTTTCAGAGAATACCTGTGTTTGGAAATTAGTTTTACATTGGCAGCTTGGGCTTTTATAGAGTTATAACATGTATTATTCTTTGTGAACATTGTACAGTGAAGACGACCAATGGATTCCTTTGACCTTTTTATCTTCTAAATGTATACCTTTTGGTGCTATTTGAGATAGTGATATTAAAAAAATGCATGGGATTCTCTCAGGATATAGTTTTGCTGACTTTTTCAGGTATTCTGCCTAAAAACTTTTTTTACATCAATGCAGTGCTTCTCCTATATTGCTGGCTCTACCTATAGCACACTAGTTGTAGTTCCTTGACAATCTGTAACCATGCCACTGAAATTTGCAAAACTGCCATACAACAAATTTTGCTGCATTTTTCAAGTTTTTAGATGGATTATCAGTTAGAATAGGAATGGCTTGATTTTGGGAGGCTTTTTACTCCTGTCGCTACCTTACCTCCCCCTTAAACCACTTCCAGGAATGGCACAGTATCATGAACTGACAGGACTCTTTAGTGATCGGGATCTGAAGAAGAAAATTTTATTTAGCGTATGCGTAGATGTGCACATCACTCCTCTTAAATTAAATATATTCTCCTGAAATTGTTCACACCCTAAGAAAAGATATGTTGGAATGTTTAAGGAAGTGCTGGAGAATTGTGAAGTGATTGTTCTTGTTTGCTCCAAATGGCTTTTGCCTGTTCAAAGGGGAAATATTGTATGGGGCTTTTGGAAGATTAAGAAGCTTTCCAATCAGCTGGATTTAGTTTTACAAATTCTCTCGCAGTACCTTCTTCGTTTTAACCATTTCTGTCTACCCATTTCCCTGCCTCTGTCTTTCTCATTTTGGTCTTCCACTGCAAATAAAATTTAACATGTCTCTTACTATTACAAGGTTATAATCCTTTTCTAAACATGCACACTCTCCCTATGCTTCAAGTATTTCAAGTACAAATTTCCTTTTTCCATCAATAATCTATGCATGTATCATGCTTGGGATGAAATATGTAGCAAAGCTTCCTATGAGACTATTTGGAAAAGATCCAGTAAATTTAGTAGAACTGCTATTACATTTGCCCTTTAGGAAGAAAAGAAAAAGAATCTAGCAGACAACAAAAGCTGGTTAAATTATGCAGCAAGACTCTAAAAGGTGGAATCTGAGTCTTTGGGAGTTGTTGAGCTCTCTCATTGTATCTTGCTGTGCTGGAATGTGTAGTTCAGTAGCATTTTGAGAGTCACTGATTCCCCATTCTTGCTCTGCTTACTTTAGCTTGTAAAGGAAGCAGATAGCCTTTGGCTTCAGCTACTCCTGCAGACATAACACCAGCATCTTTGGAAGCAAAGAGTTCATTGTTGCATTCTGCCATTGTTTCTTCTGACATAGATAGGTAGACTTAGGACTTGGTGAGAACAAGTACCTTACTGCAGAGGACAACTAAAAGGAAAATGTGGCAGCCTTGGGTGGGACAAGGGCAGTGTGTATATACATAAACAGACATACTAGTAATCCTTGCCATGCTTTGATTGACTTCTGTTTTTGGGGGGGGGGGATATTGCTTTAAACACCAGTGTGATGCATTATTCTTAATTTGAATCAAGCTCAAAATCTCAATACAATAATACTCAAACAGCTTATATATCGGCTGGTTATTTTTAATAAATATTTTGGATGCTACTGAGTAAATGCATTTTTTTTCTCTTCCCTGTAGTTGTAGAATGACTGAACCAGAAAGTAAAAGATAGAAGATGGGACTTTTTGTATTAATACTGGCAAAAGAACCATTGTTCTGAGGCAGCTTCACAGCAACTCTGCACAATGAAAGAATAGTGCTGTGGCATCTTTTAAACCTGCAAATTTATTTCCCAAGTGTGTATGGGGGGGACAGTTGAAAGAGGCATCCAACCAAAATTCTGGACATGCTACGTCATTGACACCTTTGTCATCATCAAATGCTCCCAAATTGAAGAAACACACCACCTACTCAATAATATATTCCCTGGGATCAAATTTACATGCAAAGAGGAAACAGACAACAGACACTCATTCCTTGATGTCGACATAAGGAGCCTAGACAACGGAGAATTAGAAACCGGTGTCTACCACAAACCTATACACACAGACCACATCTTCCACTTCACAAGAAATCACCCCACTTCACGCAAAAGAAAATGTCCAGACCCTGTTCAGAAGGGCACTGCAGCACCTCAACACTAAGAAAAGCAGAAGAGAAATGGCTGCTTGACCTCTTTCTCTGTAATGACTATCCCAAAAACTTCATATTCTGACACACAGCACCTACACCACACCACCAGAATTGATATTCAGTCGGTTTGGACCGGTAATGGCGACCTGTGGGTGGTGCCCGTTGGGCCCGCCCATGCGCAATCCCGTCCTATATCACTGTGTTTTTGATGTCGCACGAGCAAATTGCCGTGTTTTGTGATGGCGCATGGATACACAGCAAGCGAAGTGTGCATGCACGCTCAGATTTCTGGTGCTGGGCGAACCAGTTGCTACAGTATGTGAAGCCCACTTCTGCACACTGCCAACTGGCTGTAAATCTGATTGATGGAAAAAGTATACGAAGTTTCAGCATTGAGCAATTTTGGCTATTGGACTTGGCTGCCTTCTGTAATTTAAAAGGTTTCTATGAATATGGCCATAGGTTGCAGTACTGTTTATAAAAACCACTTTTGATTGCACTAAAGATCCTGAAATAAACTTATTTTTTTTTATCTGTTAACTTGTTGGATTTTAGTCAGTAACTATAGTAAGTTATAACTGTCCATTTAATTGCAGTTCAAAGTTATGACAATCTCTGAAAAAGTGACTTAAAACCTCTCCTTGTACTTGATTGTTGCACCATCCCTTACAGTCAAGTAATTGAATATTGGATGTTAGGGCAACCAGTTTGCATTTACGACTGGTTGAAGCATCCTGCAGTCACGTGATCACAATTTGTAATCTTGCCAATTTCTAGAAAGCTGGATTCACTTAATGACTATGTCATTCACTTGATTACTGTAAAAATTATAAAAATCATGTCTGACTCAGTCCTTGACTTAACCACAATTGGAACCAGAATTTCTGTTGTAAACTATCGAGGTCATAAACTGTATGCCCAGGTTAGAGGATGAAGAAAGGATGGGATTAAATAGATCTCTTCAGAAGAATTAAAAGAAGCAATCCATAGACAAAAAAATAATATAGCTCCGGGACTTGATGGGTTACCAGGTGAATTTTACAAAAAATGGGGGAAATATTGGAACCGATAACTCTTGGATTTGTATAATGAGGTATTGTTGGAAACAAAAATGCCCAATTCGTGGAGAGAGGCATACATTACAGTCATGAAAGAAGGTACCGACCCAACCCAGATTCAAAACTAGAGACCAATTTCTCTCTTGAATACTGACTACAAGATCTTTATGACCATTATGGCAGGATGGATGAAAAAAATATTGAATGGAATTATCCACTCCGATCAGAATAGCTTTCTCCCAAGGACGCAAATTAAATTAATACAAGGACGGTTTTGAATATATTAGAATATTACGAGGCGCATCCAGAGTAGCAAACAGCTCTTGTTTTTCTGGATGCGCAGAAAGCCTTTGATAATTTAAATTGGATGTACATGATAAAAGAAATGAAATTTGGTACTAAATTTGAACAGATGATTGAAACAATTTATTCCACCCAAAAAGCAAATATAATCAATGGGGAAATTACAAAATCATTCGAGATAAAAAGTTTGCCAGGGATGCCCATTATCACCTTTGCTTTTTATTCTGACATTAGAGTCATTTCTGAAAAAAATTAGGGCAAACACAGATTAAGGGGACCAAAATTAAGAGAAGAATATAAATTAAAAGCATTTGCAGATGGTTTGGGGTTTTTCATTGAGGATCCAAAAGAGACAGGGCTGATATTGATAAAGGAGATAGAAAAATATGGAGAAATACCCAGCCTTAAAATCAACAAGACAAAAACAAAAATGATAGTTAAAAATATAACAGGACAACAAGAAAAAGAATTAGGGAAATTGGGATTACAAAGTTAAAAAAAATATATTTAGGAATATGGTTGACGGCGAGATGCTCCTCAATAAAACAAGATAATGATACAAAATTTATACAGCAAATAAAATTGGATTTAGAAAGATGGGGTGCACTACAAATATCTATGTTGGGCCGAATTGCAACCATCAAAATGAATGTTTTGCCAAGATTATTATATCTTTTCCAGACCGTACCCATAAAATTAGATAGGAAATTATAGAGCTGAACCAAATTACATTTAAATTTATATGGGCTGGCAGAAAGCCACGAATAAAACTAACAGGCCTCCAGGATAGCAGAAGCAGAGGTGGTCTAGGGCTCCCAGATTGGCAACTCTATTATAAAGCAGCAATTTTAACTTGGATTAAGGAGTGGACAAATTTAAGAAATAAAAGACTACTTATACTGGAAGGACATGATTTACAAAAAGGGTGGCATGCCTTTCTATGGGATAAAGAAAATAAATCCCATTCATATTTTTTTCATCACAAAATACGAGAGGTCTTAATGCCAATATGGCAAGAAACAAAAAAAAATATGAAAATGCCTGGGTGGGTGTCAACAATGGAGGCAATGATACATCCAAACGCTATGGATATGAACAAAATGGTCAAATATGAAATTTTAGATTCCCAAGGAAACTTAAAAAGTAGGCAAGATCTGAAGAAACAAGGAATTATTGATTGGTGGCCATATCTACAAATAAAATTGCTGTATTCAAAAGACAAAGAGGAGTATGGTATTGAATTGGTTCCACAATATTTAGATAAATTACTGATTGGCCCAGATGAAAAATTAATAACCAAATTGTATAAATATTTTTTGGAATTTGATAAAGCAGAGGAAATAGTGAAAGGAGCGATGATAGCATGGGCAAAAAATGTAGGGCACAATATTGAATTAGAGAAATAGGAAATAATTTGGAACAAAAATTATAAATTAACAAGATCAATAAAATATAAGAAAACCAATATAAAATGTTTTACTGCTGGCATTTGGCTCCCTCAAGATTGGCAAAAATATATCCAAATTTCGCCCCAAATTGTTGGAAATATGGACAGAAACAGAATACCTTCTACCACTCATGGTGGCTGTGTCCAGAATCAAAAAAATACTGGAAAAAAATAAAAAATTGGTTGCAAGAAATAACAGGTGTTCAATTGGAATTTGTACCAGAACTATACCTCCTGGGAATAATGGGAAAAACTTAGGATAAGAAGACAAGACATATGATTTTACATATAACAACAGCGGAGAGATTGGCTTTTGGAAAAATGTGAAGACTCCCTCCGAAGATCAAATAATCAAAAAAATTTATGACTGCGCTGAAATGGATAAACGAACATTGGAACTGAAAGAAAAGATAGACTCAGAGTACTATGTATCATGGAAGAAATGATATGAATGGATTAAAAAGATGAAATGGACTCAGATATAACAGAATTTGATGAAGTAAAATGTATAGACTAAGTATTTTATAGGGATAAGTCTAGTAAATGCACACAGTTCTGCATAAAAAATGATTTTTTTCTTTTTTTTCTTCCTTTCTTTCACTCTTTCTTTTTTTGTATCTTTTGTATTCTTTTTGTATTCTTTGTTTTTTCTTGTATTTTTGTATTTCTGCATGTACGTTTTTGGTTTTGTGTTTATTGAAAAAATATTTTTTTAAAAAATAAGAAAATAGAAAACATTAACTGAGGAGCATCTGGGTGCTGTTTGCAAGCTGTGATCTCATATATTCCTAATTACACTAAGCATGTGGATGATCGATGGTGTCAATTTTCACTTTAGTCACTTGAGGCTATGTATTTCCAGAACTGCACATCTGTTGTATGTAGGGAAATAATATGATCGATGTACAGATGATGCTATATATAAATTCTCAGTACACACAACAGCTAGCATTGGGTAGTCTGATCAAATAAAAACAAGTGCATGTCACATCTTTTAGTCTGCATGCAGAATGAAATGCAATTGTTCTGGCCCAAGAACTGGCCCAAGGGGAAAGTGCAGAGAAAAGCCAAGAGAGTTTCCTTGACAACAATGTGTGCAGGCATAAGAGACAGCTTGGGGCAGAAGGAAGTGTCTGGGAAGGGGTGAGAGTAGATACGCTGTTCTGGGATCCTGCTCCTTACTGCTGAGGCTATTGCAATAAGAAATTTCAGCCAATGTGTGGCAGATCATTGACGGAATGAAAAGATGGAAAATGGATGGGCAAACTGGCATACATGTCAGGCAGAGTTGAAAAGGAATACATACCAGCCTTACTCAACTTGCTTTCTAACATTGCTCTAAATTTTTCTTTTTTTCCTTTATTAAAATCTCTAGTGATCTAGGTAGTTATGGCCCTATAAATTATCACAAAGAATTGAGCTGAAAGCATTGCAGGGTATTTTTGTAACGCTGAAGGAAGCAGGTAGGCAGGCAGCAGTGGCTTCTGCAGTCAGTGTACTAAAGGCAACAGAAAGCAAGACAATACTGTTGTTACTTAAAACACACTCATGAAGCTGAAGCAGGCATATTCCTCAATTATCTAGCAGGTTTCTCTTCATCTGTTGGGCAGTCCTGAATCCCTCCCTTCTCATATCCTATTTTGCTCTAAGCGTGGTGGTGTAATGGCTAGAATGCAGTATTGCAGGTTAACTGCCGATTGCCAGCAGTTGAATCCTGACGGCTCAAGATTGACTCAGCCATCCTGAGGGTAAAATGAGGACCCAGGTTGTTGGCAATATGCTGACTATAAATCAATTAGTGCTGTAAAGAACTACGGGGCAATATATAAGTATTGCTGTTGCTCTATTTCTGATTCAAGTGCCTTTTGATGGCTCGACAGTACCATGACTGAACAATGGTAAGGCTAATTGTGATGACAGCAGACCAGCAAGCTGATTGGGAACAAGAGAACATTCCTACTAGTCTTTGGTGCCCTTTATACCACTTATGCTCACAGGTGCCTTCTGAGCTTATTCTCCTCCCCTATATTAGCAGCAGAGCCAAATCTGTTTTATTTTCCATGAAAGGGGTTAAAGTAGTTGAAACATCTCTTCATTCTGTTAGTTAAAGTGGAAGAAAATGTATTCAAAAGTCATCCCAGATATGGAATTTATATATAGCAGCCCTATAATCTCTGCGTTCTTCAGCACGTGGCTCCATGTTTGTGAAATACAAGTGGATTTTCCCTTGTTTTGAAGGCCTGAGTAGCTGGCAAGAAAAAAATACTGCAGGAAATTATCTTGGAGGAGCATGCACAAAGTAGAAAATATATTTTGTTCTCTTCCTACAGAAGTTAGTTGAAAGTTTAACAACCTGAACATCCTGGCAGCCCCAAGCTTAGGCTGATAAAAATCCAGAGGCAAGTTGAATTTTCAGGGTAAACTGGTACCAGTCAGACCTGGCCAAGGCAAGATGGATTATAAAATGAACTAAACTTGAAGAAATGGCAAAGCTACCAATTTGGTCAGGGAAAAAAATGGGGACTTAAAAAAAAAGATTGGAAACCTTATATGGTGCTTTTGTTGAAAAAAAGTCTGAATTGATGATTTCCACAGATGTTTTGTATATTACTATACTGAAAAATTGTAATAAAAAAACAACAAAAGACCTGAACAAGGGTCACGCATAGCTGCCTGCTTTATGGCTGAGCATTTTGAACATTCCTGTTAGTTTATTGTATGCATGTACATAAGCAGGTAGACAAAAAAAGCACCTGCTAAAGTAAAGGCTACTTTTATTGAAAAAGGAAAACTTACACTGAGGTTGCAGAGTACTGAGAGCTCTTGTTACTTCCATACAATTATTGGTAGCCAGATTTATGGAATATCATCTCCAACACAAACATCAAGATGGGAAATATGGTCCTTTTGACCACTTGTTCTTACAGCAGCAACTGTTAAATCATCTTATGCTGAGATGAGTTTCTAGACTAGATTCAACATCTTAGTGATCACTACATCACTGATATCACCACTCTACCTTTCATTGATTTGAATGAAACAAACTTTAACGATGCTTAAGTTGAAAGGGAGATGGGTAATCAAAATCAAACAGAACACAAATACACTTACAGAAATCTACTAGCTACTAGATATGATCTTGAAAACTGTTTTGGAAGTGGAGGTTATTCAAGCCCATTCCTTTTGCAACATTTGCAGTAAAGCTGTCAAGCATAATCTTGATATATCTTGATTTCCTCTATTCCAATGGAATGTATAAAAAAATTGCCTCAGGGATCTTCAGTGTTGTAACTGCATATCAAGTTCTTTAATTACCTATAATAATATAGTGTCAAGTTTTAATTCAGCTTCAGTTAATATTAGTTCTGATCGAGTTTAGGTCAACTGACTGCAAATTACTGATTAGGTCATTAGTGAACAAAGATTGAAAACTATGAGCTTTATTTTTCTCAATTTGTGTATCATGTTGTTTTTATGTACACAGCATAAGTAACCATTCATTTAAAAAACAAATGTTAAATACTGATCCTCCATAAATGATCAAACATAGAGAAAAACATCTACAAAAATGTATTAAATCGTATTTAATAGGAGAAAACAATGGCAAACCAATTTCATATATTTTGCCTACTGTAATTTTGTTCAAATCAGCACTATCAAAATTGACACATTTTTCAAATCTTAAAACTCTTAATTGGAGACACATACAACATTAAGAATTGAGTTTGTGCAACCGTTTTGGGAGCAGTTTTCATCTTGAATTTTATATCCCTTTCAGATGGAACTTTCCTTTCTAGAATTAATTTGTAGTCAGATCTATGCAAATCTATGTTCTCTCCTACATTCAATATGTCTTCCGGTTGGATTGCATTTATAAATGCTCATCATCAAAGCAGTTCAGAAATGTAAATAGGTGCATATGGTAGCAGAAATTTTAAAAGGTATTTCCCTTGGTTTCTTTTTTTAAAAAATTGGATCACTTTCCTTCCCGTGAAAAGGAAGACAATGCAACTAATCCATTCATTCAAGGAAATTAATTAGAAAAACGTTCTCTGCATTTTTATCATCTTACCCACAAGGACTTCAGAAAGATTTTGCACAGCCTGTATAATCTATTTCTTTCAGTCCCTTCAGCTAATAACCATATTCATTTTTGCTGTAAGTGGTCTTGTGAATTAAATAGCAGAATCATTGCAAATATACCCAAGAAATGAAGTATCCACAGTTTTCCAAGCCTTTTTCCTATTCCCAAGTGCTACAAAACTGTACTGCCAAAATTTAGCAAGCTACTGATTCTCAGTAGGAAATCAAATTAATTGCAGACATGTCTATCACACTCTATGCCCCTCCAAAGGAGTAAACAGGAAAATTTCAGTCCCTTTTCTTCAGTTACTTCACTATCAGATCTGTTGCTGAAAAGTTTTAGAAATATCAGCAAAAAGGAGTCTGGCTTAACATTTCACTCAAATACGATCGCAAGTTGTTTAGAAGACTGCAACATACCTTGAAGGTTTATGAAACTGCCATATATACTTGCCATAGATTTCAAACAAAATCATGTTCTCTGTATTGGTTACTACTATTCAGCGCTTAGAGAATTAAATAAGTATACTGAAAACTTTGGCAATATTCTGAATCGTATTTTAAAACATTATTTTACTGAGAATTAAAGTAATAAATTCATTGAAAGGGCACCTGGGTTTGCATAACTGAATAATGCTCTTGATTAATTCTTTGTATTAAGGATGTTCTACTAGGTAGCAAAAGATTCAACACTGTTATGAATAATAAAGGAGTAGTATATTTGCTAGGCAAGTATAGGCATATGAATTACAGCCCTTATAATAAAGAACATCTACTATTGCACCTTTGAAAATGAACTGTTTCTTGAAATTTTTTACTGATGCTTCCATTTTGAAATCATGTATTTATGCTGTGCATCCAATACAGTCTGGATAACTTGCATTTTAGTTTTACTCTCATGGTGGCAGCAGTTTTCTTTTTTACTAAAAATCAAACAGCATCTTCTCCATAGCATTCCAGAATGTCCTTAAAATTATTTTATAGTCTCTTAATTTAAAAAAAAAAAAGATCCTCAACTAAAGGCGTTTATTTGGATTTTGGATTTGCATTCCTCCACAGTCTTGTATGTGATAAAAATCAGGTTTCTATCTTGAGCCTTGATGCCGGAACTATTTTTATAGTTTTAGCACTGTGTTTTCCATCCACATTGTTCATAGATGTTTGTATTTTTTCTTCTAACAGGCTGTCCTTAGATCCATTTCGCCGCTGAAGTAAAAAAATATTGAACAAATTAAAACCATTTAAAACATCTTTGCACTTTAAATATTCAAGCATGATTAAAAGCCATTACTTACCTGCTGTGATATTGCAGTGGTGAGACAATGAGCATCTGAGGAACGGGTAACCGGAAGTGGAGGCACAAGGTCTGCTTTGGCACTGGAAGAGAAAGCAAACTTCAAAATCCACAGTGTTTATGGAGTAAAAAGAAGAAACCATAAAGATGCTTGCCTTTGTGTAAATCATTCAGTTGCTGATTTTTATCTACACTATATTTCAGAGATAATTGCATGCTTTTTACTTGGTTCCATTAGAATTCTTGATGAGGAGTCTACCTTTTAATTTGAATGTCTAGCAGAGTTATTTTTGAAAACAAGGAGATCCATCTCTCTGTCAATAAGGGTGTAGATTCCCTTTTAGTCATCACAAAATGAAGAATTCAGTGACAGGCCAACGTGCTAGTCATTTACCTTTTCCACCCAGGTTTTTAGATTTAATTTTTTTAAAAATTCTTCTATTATTTTTATAAATAACTTAAGGCAATAAACATACTACTAATACTTCTTCCTCTTCCTCCTGTTTTCTTCACAACAACTACTCTGTGAGGGGAGTTGGTCTGAGAGGACTAGCCCAAAGTCACTCAGCCATCTTGAATGACTAAGGGGGTACTAAAACTAAAAGTCTCCTGGTTTCTAGATTGGTACCTTAACTACTAGATCAGAGGGGCTCCTGAATAATTTCCCAGAAAACTAAATATTCTAACATATATTCCCAGAGCATCCTGTTGTAAGCTGCATTGTAACTGGCATTATAATGTTTATCAAATGACCATCGACCTTCCTCGGTGATTAACATACTTCACTTCTGACAGAACAGATCTCTCCCCATCAGAGCACTGGGATCTGCGATAATGGCGATAACTTCGAGGAGAATGTGAGTGTCTAATGCGAACAGGATCACCTTGAGTCCTAATAAAGAAATAAAATTTCCAGAATCAAATCATTATTTGTTCATAAGAATTACAAAGATGATTATAACAGAAAAAGCATTTCTTCAAAGTATTACATCTACGACCAAATTCATTTAAAATATATATATATATATATATATATATACACATACATACATACATACATACATACATATATAAAATACTATGTTCCAACAAAATAGAAAAAGAATATAGCTTCTGTCTTAGTTATTCTTGGGTTTGAAGTGTGCACCCCAAGGATAAAACACCCAGACAGAAACTGATTAACGTGGTATATGCAGTACAATGCAGTGAGCCATGTGCAGATCTGTACATTGGAGAAACAAAACAACCACTTCATAAACATATGGCACAACATAGGAAAACAAACACATCAGGACTAGATTCAGCAGTCCATCTGCATTTAAAAGACACAGGCTTTTTTTCACAGGCTTTTTGAAGACAACCATATTTTGTCCAGACAGAAGGATCGCTGATTCGAAAGAGGGGTTAAAGAGACCATCTATGTCAAAATTGAACAGCCCTCTCTCAACAGAGGAGGAGGGATATGACATCATCTATCTCCAATTTACAACACAGTCCTTTCAACAGTTCCAAGAAGGCTCTACACCAATTTGCACCACTCGGTGACCCTGATGACACAGATAAACCTCCAGGTGGCCTTAACGACCCGCTAAAAGAATGCAAATGACCAGCTGTCTGCAAGGAGTATAAATCCTTCCATTCCCCACCATCCAGTAAGAGCTGAAGAAGCTTCTTGGATGAGAAGCGAAACGTCTTCAAAGAAAAACCAGAAAGTCCAGTTGCCTCTTGAAAAAAACACCTTTGGGACAACCATGACCTGGATGACTGAGAATCTTCACAGACTTCTTGGCTGTTATTTCAATACTGATGCATATTATAGCGAGGTTCAGCTCAACTACGAGTATAAGTTGAATTAAGACTCCAGCCCTAAAGCACTCTCTTTGACCTTGTAGCTTCTCTTCAAATGCTATGAAAAGTGATGTAGTGTTTGCAAACTGGTAGGCTAAAAGAATAATACACACAGGTTCATCAAGGGTAGGCTTTGCATTCTAGTTGCAATCCAGTTTGTGTCATGGTATCATATATTTTGAATTTAGAAAAAATGCACCCAGCTGACTTTCATGTCTGAACTAGAATTCAGAGTCTTCTGTTTCTTAGCCCAGCACCTGAGTCCCTTCACCAAAAGCATTTAGTGAGTAGTTTACTTATTATAGAACTGTATAGAACTATAGAATTTCCCTACTCAATAGGAAGAAAATAATAAAATCAGAAAATGAAAATTTCCCTGCCTTCACCATGAAGGGAGCAGGACTTTGAATAAGGCAGTTCTTTCATCTTTGAATTCCCATTTAACTATTAATTGATTTTGTGCCATCAAGTCCATATCAATTCTCAAGGGATCACATAGATATTTTCTCCATGACATTTTAACTATAGGGCAACTCTAATAGAGTTTGGAAATGTGAGCCATCCAATACAATTGACACTTATTCTCTCAGCCTTTTGCCATATAGAATGTCATATGAATTTCAATTTTCAGATCAGCTGTACAGATTACTGAAAAAGAATATATAAAAAAAGCTTTGGACACTATAAAAAGGTAAGGTGTGTCTTTAGATTTATACCTTAAGCTTGAAAACATCCAATTTGTTTCCCTAACACCTATAAAATCAATTGAGGGAGAGATGGTGAACATCCATTGCTAAGGATGAACTTGAACCTGGGTCTCCCAACCTCTTTTCTTCCGGTATCCTCTTGGGAGTTTTAAATTATTCATTCTTGCCATTATGTACAGAAAGCACACTATCAAGCAGAGCTAGGTCTGTGTTGTGGCAAATATTTTCAGTTATTCCAGATCTTGCAGAGCAGGCTGAGTGGCTATCACTTCCTGCCCCCTGTTTTGTTCCAAGCTAGGATGGAAAAAAATTCTAGCAGTATAATTAAAGCATCACCTTAGATGGATTTGGGGAGTTGACCTTTTCAATACCCACTAATTTATTCTCATTCTTTTTCTTTCCACCTAGTCACAGGAAGTTGAAGACCAAACATCCATTGACAGGCAATGCCTAGAGATTCCCATTTTTGCAAGGCCTCTTTGAAAAGGTTAGGACTAACTAATTCCATAATTGGCAGAGAGAACAGAGGCGTTAGTTAAATGTGCAAGGCTGGATTACTTAGAGCTAGATCTTGGATTTAGCTAACTGGGTCTATTAACTCTTTTTCCAGTCCATACAACTTGGATTTCCTTGGCCCAGTTTACTATAGAAGCAAGCCATTACATAATGGGAGGTTAGATACTGGGGGGAAAACCTAATGTTTATAAGTCACCCACAGTTAATGAGGCCATATAAATATTCATTCGTTCATTCACTTATTTATACATTATTCCATCAGCATCCTTTTAACTAGTTAACATTGGGTAAAGTGCAATATTATTATCTCTTTTAAGGTTAGAATTTTACACATGCAGCTGTTTCTAATGTTATAACATAAATTGTTAGGATAGAGGATTCAATGTTTCTTTTTATAAGCCCCTTGATACAAAACTTGTACCCAAGGAAATTGAGTAAACTGTGTAAACTCTGAAGGTTTAAGGTAAAGGTTCCCCTCGCACATATGAGCTAGTCGTTTCCGACTCTACGGGGGAACGCTCATCTCCATTTCAAAGCCGAAGAGCCAGCACTGTCCGAAGACGTCTCTGTGGTCATGTGGCCAGCATGACTAAATGCCAAAGGCGCATGGAACGCTGTTGCCTTCCCACCAAAGGTGGTCCCTATTTTTCTACTTGCATTTTTTACGTGCTTTCGAACTGCTAGGTTGGCAGAAGCTGGGACAAGTAACGGGAGCTCACCCCATTACGCGGCACTAGGGATTCAAACCGCTGAACTGCCAACCTTTCGATCAACAAGCTCAGCGTCTTAGCCACTGAGCCACCGCGTCCCTGTCTGAAGGATTAATCTCTCTCAAAATATGTTTCTGACAGAGAGAACACACCGGTAGACTTTTCTATGACATTTTGGTCATGATTTTTTTTAAACAGAACCCATTGAGAAACTTTTATAATTTATTTTAGCCTTAAAAGTCATTTGTTGTTCACACATTTTCAATAGTATTATCTTGAGATTAAAGCCTTGCAAAACGACATGTGCGTGCATGCACATTGAAAGATAAATATGCTGAAGGAAATGTTTCATGTCTAGCTTTCATGCCTGTACTACTATTCTTTATTCCTACTGAGTGGTATGTCAGAATTACATTGTGATGCAAATCATGATTCAGCTCCTGTCAGAAGCACTTGTTCACATCACTACATGGAAATCCCAAATGGCCAATTACTGGAATAAAACTGGAGCTTGATCTGAAAGGACCAACTGTGCTTTGGCAATTAGTGATGCTATGCTGAGGAAAGAAGGTCAAGGAAGTCAAAGAGTCAGTTTGGATGATCAGAGTAAAAGTATTTTAAAAACTTTAAAATGAAAGGTAGCTTGAAAGTATTCTCCCAAATCTAATGAATAAATAAACTCACTCTATTTTAGTATATGGAATCTCTCTTAGTTGTTCCTCAGATAGGCCAGATGGATCCACGAGTTCTTTTCTGGGAAAGAAAAGTTTAAAAGTTAAACAGTCACATGCATAAAAAATATTATCTAATAATAGGTATCCATACTTGCAGAAATACTTACTGAATGTGTTTCCATAATTCTTCCTTTGCTTGAACATCTGGGCTTCTCCTATATGCATTCAAATATATATGTTTATTATCAGTATACATAAAAAACAAATACAAAATCTTTAAATTATTACAGCCAAGACAATGGTTTATCCAATCAATATTTAAGCACGGGAATAATTTGTAAATTTTTCATGTGGAAATGGCATCTTATGAGTAGAAAAGTCATGAGATGAATCACTATTTGTCTTCCTCCAAAATTCACAAGCTGTGTTGACTAAATTTCTAATTAAAAAATCATTATTTAAGGTATCTCCTACCTCTCAAAGTTCTGGGAAAGTTAAAAGTGGGAACAACTAATGGTACAATCAGGGTTGACTTTATTTACTAGTTAAGTAAACTTGTTTCTGAAAAAAACGCCATATTAACAACTTACTATCACTTTCATAGAAAAATTACTGGATTTCAAAGCAACCAAGTAAATTATGAGTACCAGTAGTCCTTGACTTACAATCACAAATGGGACCAAAATCTTTGTCATTCATTAAGTGAATAATCATGAAGTGAACGATCCATGTGACTGCTTTGCTTAACAACTACAATCCCAGCTCTCCCAGTTGTGGTTGTTAACTGATTGTGCCAGCTTTTAAGTTGAGTGCCGGGGAGAGGGCCTTCTCCCTGCCCAACGATGCCCAGGTCCACTAACCCTTGCCTTTTTCTGCAGCTGCAGATGCACCCACCCAATTCAAAGTACAGCCTTCCTTTCAAGGCCACCTTGCACCATCTTGCAAGTGAGTTCCATTCTCATAATCGTAAGACGACTCCTTCTGCAAACTGCACAATTTGGAGAAAGGATCTTCCAAACTATTGGGAGAATGTTTATATTAGCTAGCCTTCTTAGCCCAGGAAGGCTAGAAAGCTAGCAAACATCATTGTTCTGAATTATGGCATTCACTAGTTTTCAAGCCCTAGAAAGCTAGCAAATCTTTAGGATTTGAGATATGTTCTTGCATCGTGCTGAGAAGCTTTGTGTGGGGAAGAGAAATCCCTTGGAGTACTGCAAGAATGATCTAAACTCCTCCATCGCTTTCCACTTACAGCCTTCCCTGCTGGCTTTCCCACTGGCTTTCTGGGGAAGCCAGCACAGAAGACTGCAAATGGTGATCATATGAACAGCCATTAAATGACTGGTTGTTAAATCACCTAACAACAGTTAAGGAATACCTGTAATGAAAAGTGTGTTAAATAACTGCAAGTCTTAATAGTTTGACATAACTATTTATATTAGGCAAAATATTCAAAATCAAGAGGAAAAAGAAAGTTATAGCTTTTATTAAGGTGCTTGTATGATTTGGTCATTTACTTAAGGTGAGATGGGCAGTGTAGACATTTGCTAAATAAATAAATAATCTCAACATTTTTCTTTCCGCTCATCTTATTTTTCTGATTTTCACCTCGCTACATGAAACAGTTCCTGAAAACTTGAAACTACAGGTAGTCCTTAACTTACAACAGTTCATTTAGTGACTGTTCAAAATTACAATGGCACTGAAAAAAGTGACTTATGACCATTTTTCAGTTACAACCTTTGTAGCATTCCCATGGTCATGTGATCAAAATTGAGATGCTTGGCAACTGGGTTCATACTTATGACGGTTGCAGTGTCCCAAGGTTGTGTGATCACCTTTTGCAACCTTTTGATAAGCAAAATCAATGGGGAAGCCAGATTCACTTAACAACTATGGGAAGAAAGATGGTAAAATAGGACAAAACTCACTTAACAAATGTCTCACTTAACAATAGAAATTCTGGGCTCAATTGTGGACTACCTGTGTTATCTGTACTTTCAATTGACCTAATAAAGGTCCTGGGTCCCAGATAAGAGAGCTGCAGCCCAAATTTTATTAATGCTAAATTTCTTCTTTTTTCACTGAGACCCATTCATGCAAAGCAGCAGCTGTGAACTCTGCCCTCATCTCGAGGGATCAGCATCCTCTTCTGAATTTGTAATATAACTAGGAACTAAGCATAAACAATTCATACTGAAAGAAAGCTTCAGTGAATTGCCTACAGCTGCCATTATCCATCCAAAACAAAACCCTCAGGTCAATAAGTAGCTGAGACCTCAGCGTAGTCATAAACTGCATCCGTAAGCTATGAACGTCCCCCCAACGCAGGTCTTTTTAGGCTCTTTGCTGAAGAACCATGGGGGAAAATTACAAGTAAATAATAGATAAAAGATACTCGGATTTATAATAAACTGCATAGTCTTATTTATGCACCTCTGAATAAGTAGCTTAATTAGGTCACATATAGATCCAGTACAATGCACAGAAAATAAATGTTACATATGTCATCCCCCTCATATTAGTGATAACAGCAAAATTCAATAGCATCTTTATTATTATTATTGCAAACCATGTAGAAAATGTGTTTAGTAGTGCTATATAAAGTTACTTTCCACTATAAATCAGACAGTCATCAATATTAACATGATCTTACTGATCACTGTGTCAGCCCTGGAGGCCATCTTCTCTTTGGATCTTCAGGGCTGCCACATTTAGTGCATAGGCCTGCTGTGGGAAACTGGAAGGTGGGTTGATGAGTGGGAAGAGATAGATAGCCATAACAACGTTCTTTTCTCTGGGAGTCAAGGACGTTCAACCTGCACCTGGAGAGACATGACTGGGAAAACATCTCCAGCTGGGACAGTGGATTGATTGGACTATGTGATGGACATGTGGGTGCAGGGCAAGTGACTTTGACTTTCCTTTGGGTGGAGAAAACCCGGGGGCTTTCAGATTCGGGTTTTCCCAGATGTGCCAATATGACATCTCTAATAAAATGGAAGTTTGAGGAATTGCCTGCCTCGGAGTCTTACTTGGTTGGGGGTGTTACTTGGAACCCTGACACACTGTTTACCTTCTTGCTAATGAAAATTTCTGATCAAAGGAAATGTTTCTCACAATGTTACTGGCTCTTAACCAGCTTTTGTCTTGCTTACTTCTTAGTGCTTGTTGAAGCTACTAGAAGGCAGTTCCATTCTGCTTATAGTTGAATGGAAAGAATCTTGTCCAACATACTGTTTTGCGTGGAAGCTATAACACACCTTTTTCCCCAAAAAAAGAGGGTGAAAATCTGGGTGTGTCTTATATTCCGAATGTAGCCCCACCCAGCTTCTCAAATGGAGGTTTCAGAGGCTGAAAAAAGCATCAGAAACGAAGCTTAAGAAAAGAAGCCCCCAAACAGAGCTTCAGAAAAGAAGCCCCCAAATGGAGCTTTCAGAGGCTTTTTTTCTGAAGCTCTGTTTCGGAAGCTTTCAGAGGCAGAAAATCAAGTTTTTTCTGAAACAGAGTTTCAAAAGTTTCAGAGGCAGAAAAAAAGCAAAAAAAAAAAAAAGCAAGGCACAGATCTCACAACCAAGGAACCTGTTGCTAAAATTCACCTCTGGGAACAGCTGATTGGGGGTATTCTGGGAGGCTGATCCACCTGCCAATCAGCTTTTTTCTTATTTTCCTCCCCAAAAACTAAGGTACGTCTTATACTTCGGTGCGTCTTATATTCCGAAAAATACGTTATGTTTTTGCTTAGAAGAATTAGGTTTCATTGTAAAACAAAATCAGACAACAATCCCAGGAAATATATCCTTTAATGACAGTAGAGAAGGCATCAGTGACCCATGTCTTGCATAATATGAGAAATGACACATTTTTAAAGATTTTCTTAAGAAAAATCAAAATCTAATTATTTTACAGTTCCTAGTGACCTGAGACTTCTGATAAGCCAAAATGAGTGATAAGCATTTGAACTAATAACATTTCCATTTAGGTGAACATGTTATGCCATTGTAGGTGTATACTATAGTTGTCTCTCTTTGCTAGCTGCAATCTGTTGTGACTTTCTTTTTAACTTAAAGCAGCTGTATGTTATTCTGCATAATACAGTTGCTACATCAGGAATTCAAGCTTTCTTGAGGTGGAGGAGAGGAACAACATTTTAGCAGGCAGAAATACAGAATGGCTAATCCAAATCATTGGAGAGGTATCTGATACACCAAAACGTCCATTAAACTGCAAACTATATCATATTGCAGCAATTCATTTCATTTTCATAAGGGTGTCATACATTTATACAAATTATGCCTTCTCCACCGAGATATCATGCAAATAACAAAACAAACTCCATGAATAAAAAAATGTAATTGGTTAGTGCAGACTACTTCAGATGCAATGAATTTTGTTATTTTAGGAGGGTGTCGAGTATGCCAAGTCTACTAAATGGAAGCCAATGAAATCAAGGTTTTATTCTATTTAGTTGATGTGCTCAGAAATTATACAAGCTTGTTCTTCAGAACATTTGAATAGATGCAATTCATTTCATGGGGTTAAAGAAAAAATCATGTTTGTTACTCTATTTTTAACAATATATTTAACTTCCTAGCTCCCGAAACAAGTGTGTGTCACTGTACCTAATCAAATGCAATATAAACCAATAAGATGCAACTAGATATTATTTTGACTATTTAACTATGGAATTTGTATGGCTGTTAAGTCTAAAAATCCTTTGGCAATACAGATGACTTGTACAGCAATAGAAAATGGAGGGGTTTTGCGTGTTCGCTTGTTTTTTCTTAAAACATCCACTTTTGCTATTTTTCTCCTATATGCAACGCTCTCAAACAGGGCAGTTATTTTTTTTATTAGACCAAACTATTCTTTCATTGTAGCATTTAATTTTCTTGTTATTCTTTTTCCTTAAAATTTATTGCAATATAATAGAATTAGAATAGAACATCTGGCTTTCAAAAGCTTGTTTATAATGTTCACGCTGCCCACAAGAGGGAGTCTCTCCTATTGTATTTAACTAACAAGTAAAAATGATATTAAATAAGGGTAACTTTTCTCATTTTAGAAGTCTAAAAAGTTTAGCATTCAACATACGATCGTGATCTGTGCCTGGAACGTCGATAGGTCGGTTCAGTTTGGTTTTTTTCCTTTTGTCGCCTCAGCACTGCTTCCCATTGAGGAGCTGAATCAACCATGTCATTCTCTTGTCGTAACCTTTACAAACATTAACATAATGATAACAATTAGAAATTATGAGACTTGCAGTTCAACAGAAGTGAAAAGCGTCAGATTGGGAAGATAATCAGATGAGATAATCAGATCAGACCTTAATATTCCGGAAATTTAATCTTGAAGACGGACACCTGTTCTATTTCATGATATAATTACATAAAGCTCATCACTTGACATACTTGCTTCTGTTGTAATGCTATTTTGAGAAATTGAGCATTTATTCACAAACTGAATGCTAAAAGTAACTATGTCATAAGATGACTGATTCTAGTAGCTAGAGGTTTAAGAAAAATAAATGTACTACTCTAATGAACCAGGCAACACATTTAATTATACTTATTTACAAAACAAATATCTGCTTCAATCACAGACTCAAAGTGGCTTACAACCAGTACAATAAAATAACCCCAGTAAAATAACAACCAGTACCTATCAAACCAGAAACCAGTTATTAATCTTAAAAAAAGGTAACAAATAAAAACTAACTTGGATGTAACGATAACATTCATCCCCAAAAGGCTCTGCAGAACAGCAGTGTTTTAACTGCCCTTTCTGATTTTGAATGAATAGAAAAGGAGAGAAAAATCCAAACAGAAAAATCCAACAAAACCCAACACACAATGTTTGTTTGTTTGTTGTCATGTTGTCAACATGACAACATGTGACAAACCTAAACCCAATTCCATTTTAATAGTCAGACATATCCACATCAAATTTATATCTCTCAGACTGATTTTTCAAGTGATCCAACACTTCCTTGATGAAAACCATTGATGAAATCAATTCATAGACACCTGGTCAGGTCGTCTAAGATACTGATTGCTCAGTTTGAATTCCTTCATCAGGAATTACCCTCCCTCCTACCCAAAATGTTTTCTGGATTTTGTCTCCAAATTGCAGGCAAGGAATCAATCTTCATATTAGATTACTTCCCTGCATACGTAAAACATTCTTAAAGATTCAGGTTTTATTAAATAGAAAATAACTACCAACATTTCTGGTTGTTTTAAAAAACAACTGATCGCTTCAGATTTCTTTTTGTTTAGTTCTTTAATACACGAAATCAGCTGAAGCCTGGACAGATTTAATCCTTTTGCCTTGCCTGGTTGCAAGCTGCTTTAATCTCTGCTTTTTAAATGAAGAAAAAGGCAATTTTTTCTCCAAAGATGAACATAACCATAATGCTCATGGGGAATATTCAGAGTTTAAATTACTTATAATTCTGGACTGCTTCTAATATGTAACAAAAGAGAGTTAGGCAACCTCCCCTAATTATAGAAGAAGAAATACAATCTCCCAATTTTTTCAAATGAAAATTAACCAGCCAGGAAAATATCATTCATAGAAGCAGTATTTATTTACACTGTAATCTGTAAATTAAGTATAATTTGCATTTGGTTCAAAATTTGTGCATAATTTTTCATCACCTGTGTCTCTTCTTCCTATGTTCTCTATTAGAATTTTCTGATTCACTACCACTGCTGGTATTGCAACGGGATCTTGATCTATAAAGGAGAAAAACATAATGACACTGGCAAAAAATAAAACATAGGAGTATTCTATTCATCCATCCAATTTTATATGATCGCTCACCTCACAAAAGATGGCATACAACAAAAGCAACAATTAAAAACATATAAAACCACTTAACTAAGTAAACATAAATAAGAACAAGATTGCAAGATGGTTATATGTGGTGCAGCCAATGTGTGAGTTCCCTGTTGCCAGGGGATTCCCAGGCTTGGGAATTCCGGGAAGCTGTAGGGGCCAAGCTCACTTCAGAGAGGATGATATTCTAATGGGAGGGTGCCATGGCAGAAAAGGCTTTGTCTCCTAGGTTCCATCAGGTGGAGCCCCTTAGCAGACAGTCTCTGCAACATGCCCCTGCTACCAAATCTGAGGGGATGAGTAGATGTAATTGGGGAGAAAGAGTCCCTCAAATAAACTGCACCTTGAATTGCAGCGGGAAAAAAACGGCAGCCAGTGCAGCTCACAGAACAGAAATGTAACATGTGAGAAGAGAAATATATCCACCATTGGAAGGTTGCAGGTAATAAGGCCTAGGAGTGGGCTTGCAGGCCTCACTGAACCAAAATTTTAAACTAACGTAATTGCAAAATGTACCAGACATATTTCTAATGTGCTGACTTGTGTGCTGCATTTCCTGCAAAATACGTGGTTTTGATATATATTTGGAATCAGAACATTGAAACTGTGAAAACGGAGAACTGAAAGTAGACGATGGATAGAGGTTTGAGATGTACCTGGGTATTTGCAGACAGTGACAGTCAGTAAGAATGTAAGAAACAAGGAGGTGGAACTATGGAATGCGTATGTCAGTAAAAAAAAAAAAAGGTATAAGAAATGTGGCTTGAGATGAGAATGGTGTCCTTTGCCCGATAACAGTCCTTGTAGGACTTGCTATGTATCATTGGACCCCATTGCAATGGTTTAATAATGTAAATTTTGTTGTGGAATTGCATTGCTATGATAGCTGTTCATGTTCCAAATTGCTCATTCATAAACCTCTGAATCTTAAAGTAAGATTTATTGCTTGTGGTTTCCTCTTTGGGTTTTTTATTGGGGTATTTTTACGACACCTCCTAGGAGCACACATAACTGTCTGTGCCACTGCACTGTTCACCAGCTGAAGCTTCTGGATACCCTTCAAGGGCAGCCCCATGTAGAATGCATAATTATTTAAAAATTATATATTTGGAAAAGAAAACAACGAGGAGGTTTTCCCTACGAAACAATAACAATTATTCTTATTACTAATTCACTTTCATTACTAATGTTGAATTATCCTGGGTACCAAAAGTGTTTACAGATGCACAAATTAGGGGATTTGGAAAACTTCCATTCACCTGTCAAACATAGCTGATGACAGTGAAAGAGAAAAGAAAGAACCAAAATAGACATAAAGAAACCCTAAATTTGCATTAGGAAGGAAGTAGAAAGAAAACATAAATAACAAACAGCAGAGTTAAAGAAGCCTGTACAACAGTCATAGAAAATTTAGGGTCAGGTCCCACCTTCTTCTGAAAGGCTGCACAGGCTCATTTTCACTTCCGCCTGAAGGATGCCGTCGTGAATGAGGAAACTTTGGTGATCTAGTTCGGTCGCTGGGAGAATTATAAAGCCCACTAGAGTCAAAGAAGAATAAAAAAACAAAACATGCCATTTTTCAGTGGCTTGGAAATTTACAGCACCTTTACAATAGTCCTCGACTCATGATCAGTTATTTAGTTATGATGGAGTTGAAAAAAATTACTTATGTTCCATTATCGAAGTTATGATTGCCGTACTACCTCTGTGGTCATGCAAATAACATTTTGGGTGCTTGGCAATCAGCTCACATTTATGACCGGTTGCAGCATCCCAGGATCATGTGATTACATTTTGCTCCCTTTTTGCCATTTTCCAACAACAAATATCTATTGCATAAGATGGATTTGGACTTATGACTACATGATCCGCTTAACAACCATATGATTTGCTTAGCTACTGTCATAAAAATGGTTGTAAAATTGAGTCTGATCACATGGTGACTCAACTTCCAACCAAAATTCTGGGTTCAGTTCTGGTTATAAGTCGAGGATTACCTGTAGTTTTATTTTACAGTTACTTTATGGACAGAAAATATTAGTATTTTCTATCCTAACAAATACACTTTTTAAAAAGTACACAGTCAAGTTGAGGATGGTGATTCTACTACTTTGAGAAAATGAATACACTGCACTGAACTTTTCCCCAAACATATTTATGCAGGGAGCTTGGAAGACAGAACATTAAAAATATTTACACATTTACACAACATGATAGAAGATACCATATTTCTTCATTAAGAATAGTATTGTATTGCAAGTTTTCCTTATAATATTAAAAGACTCACTATTCCTGACCAGCTATACAGAGATAACAGGCTTAATAATTTGCATATTCTTCTTACAGTTAGCTTTCATTAGAGCAATTTCCCATAATTATTAATGGTAACAGGGTAAGAAAAAATTACAATTAGCAAGCAGACTTTTGAAATAATATTTAGAAAGACCCCTTGGAATGTATTTTTCCAATGTCATGCTGAAGACTGAAGAATATGCACTGTTTTGTCTCCTCCAAACAAAACAGTAAACATTAATAATTCCTGAATTTTAACCAATGTCTTCATTTCACAGACAGAAATGATGGTCTTTTGTCAACATGTAGTATCTATGAAACTGATTTCTTCAGAGTCCATACCTGTATTAAGTCAATTGAAAGCTGTAAAATAACTGCCCAAGCTTTCTTTGCAGATCCATACAGAGGTGATGGAAAGAATCGAAGAGTGGAAAAGAAACCTCTCTGCAACCAACATTTACCCACATTTCGTATAGAATCTCACATATAAATGAAAGGAAGTATAAATGGCTTGGCTCTCCATCTCTTTTGTTCTTCCTTTATCCTTTTGCCCCAGAAAAGTCAATATGTTTTCACACTCTTAACCTTTGGAAATAACAACAACTGGTAAGGAAGTACAGCTACTTCTCTTGAGGATGGGGTCTAGCTACTGTATATAGTAAACCCATTTCAAATCTCCATATCAGGTCTTAACTAGTGATAAAAAGGCACCAATTTTAAGATACTAAAAATATGACAGTCCTTCTCCCAACCTGTGGCTCTTATTAAATAGTAAGGCCCCCTCTATCATTCAGAGAACTTCCTTTTGCTTACCATAACCTCTCTTTTCTATCGTGTCATCAACATTTAACTAACATGCCTTTGGATATAACACTAAGTCAAGACTTTTTAACATAGACTATGAATGTTTTAAGAAACTAAGTTTGCAATAATCATGATTTGTTATAAAATGTGGCTTGTTTTTGCCCTGCTGATGTGTAAATGGCATTCCAAGAGTTTTTAGTCACAGGCACTTCTTTGTACAAGCTAAGTAAGCTTTTTTAAAAATCAAAACGAATTGCAGATCCAGCAGTAAAAATGAAAAAAAAAAAAAAAGCATTTAACTTGGGTGGGATTACCATAAATAATTTATTTTAGTCGTCTTTTATTCTCTTCAGAGTGTATTATTTTACACTCTGTGGGTGCAACCATCAGGAAATCCTATTTAAAACAATATTTACTGAGATTTCGTAAGGACATTGTTCCTCCCCCCCCCCGCCCCTTTCTCTTTGCAAAAGATTTAAGCACTCTGGTATGGAAAGAACTCTAGATAAAGGAGGAGTTGCATTGCTAAAGATTCACTGCCAGGAAGAATGCCAGCATTTATTGTTTGGGGAAATTCAAGAACGATTTAAATCCGAGATGTTGTATAATGCAGAAACAAGGAAAAAGTGGTTTTGTTTCTAGGTTCAGAAACAATGGGCTGAAGCAAATCAGGACCTGTCAACTAATGTCAAGCAATGCCTTCAGTTTGTATTTAGTATAGGTTCAGATTAACATTATTCTAAGCAATCAACATTAATCTAAGCAGATTTTGAGTTAGCATTATAGCACAAAGATGCCTGTAAATACATTACTTCTAAAACCATGTGTATACTTTGTTCAAAGCACAAAGTTACCTTTGAGGACGGTTTTCTTCCCATGGTGCACTGATTTTACTTCTTTGGGTTTCTGGGCTGCTTTCATTTCTTGACTTTTTAAAACTGGTAAACATAAAAAATAATAATTTAGAACTATCAACCTATGGAAATAAGTAAACATAAATCTCACATCGCAAGCTTAGATATTTATTTCTAGGGAATTTTCATAATGAAGCACTTTTGCCATAATTATGTTGGGGACTGCTCAAGTGTAGATATTGTTCAAGCTGAAATGACTGCTGAAATGATACAAAATACTATCTGTGCTTTTTATACTATACATCGAGTGAAGCAGAACATTCCATGCAATTCCATGTATTCTATATGTAAGTTTTTAATGTGTTTAAATCATTTTTGCAAACTTTGTCACTGTATTTTTTTTTAGGATTTTGATAATGTTGTGAGATAGATTGGATCAGCAGTTACTCTCTTCCACACAATAGGCTACATAAATATAATCCAATCTAGACAATTGTCAGTGTCAGAACGAAAGCTAGGCATCTGGAGCTAAAATGTGCATCCATATATATAGATAGACAGAAACAGCAAAGAACTGACCAAAGTAGCTTTCTTATCTCTGTAGCAATGGTGGGTTGCCCCCGGTTCGCACCGGTTCTATAGAACCGGTAGTAAAACTGGCGGGAGGCTCCGTCCATCAACCCCAATGTCATCAGAATGCATGCGAGTGAAGCAAGCGCATGTGTGTGGCCCCGTTGCAAACCAGTAGTAAAGGTAAGTAGAACCCACCCCTGCTCTGTAGTATAAGTCTATGCTACAGAGACTACCACAGCAATGTGTTTCCTATTTCTAATCTCCACAATCAGTCCAGAAGAATGGTCAATGATCTTGAAGGTTGCTGAGAAAACTAAGATAGCTGCACCATCATTAATCTGTCTCTCTAGATGTCATTACAAGTGAAATCAATGCTGTCTCCATACTATCCAGCCTGAACCCTAACTGAAAGGGGTCCAGATAATCCACCTCTAAGATCTCTGAAGATGCAAGCAGACAACTTTCTCAATAATCTTCACTGAAAAGGGGAGAAGGTTGGAGACTGGCAAACATTATCCAACACTGCTTGGTCTTAGTCACTGTTTGATGAAGAGGGGCATATCCCCCCCTCTTCAAGGAAGACAGAACCGCCTGGACTCTTTCCCCATTGTAACTTGACTATTTTTATTTTCTATCTGTCTTTTTCCGATATCTAATGAAGACTTTTCTACTTCTCATATAGTTTTGCCCATTTTCTGAAAGCAAACATAAACTCTCATTCTTGCTCTTACATTCTTGCGTCACAATATTGTATATCACAGTGAAAGCCCCAAACCTCCCACAGATTTTCTAAATTAAAAAAACCTATATGTTAAAAATCTAGTTCATTCTTCTTAAAAAGAGATCAATAGGTAATTGTTTTAGCTTTAGATTCTTAATTTTTCACTTCTTTTATCAATACCTTTTAATTGGTGATGGAGCAATAATTTTGGCTCTTCCTTCATTTTCCCCAGATTCTTTGAATGTAATAACCTGGCTTGTGCAATGTGTCCCTATAATGAACAAAGAAAATATCTAATGTTAGAAATTGTTAGCGTTCTTTTGCCCTTTGGGGTACACCTTTTTCCATACATTTTCATTTAATTATATTCTCAATCTCTTAAAATCACAACTGTCACATATTTGTTATGCAATCATCTCAAATTAGCCAGTATGATGGTTTTTCAATTAAAACCTAAACTACTGGCATTTCAAAAATACCAGCAAAAATACCCTTTTTTCTGCTACATAATGTTTCAATTTTAAAAAACTAAAATATTCAATACTAATGTAATATAATTTTTCCATTTCTCACATAAGAACAATATTTCCAATAGGAAAGTAGCATTTATAAACTAAGCACTTCAGCACATTGTAACAATAGAGAGAACGCAAAAATAACAATACTAACTGAATATGCAAATATTTGAAGTAGATTTTTTAAAAAAGTATTTGAACCCTATGTAGAAGGTTTTTTTATGTATATAATGTTGCATACTCCTTAAAGCTTAGCACATGGTGTTAAGGACCTTGTTTCAGCCCTATAGAGTATTGACTGAAATATTGTAATTCACAAGACACAGTTATATTGTATAATGAACAGGATCAAGCTATATTAAATAGAGTTGCTAACAGCATTAAAACAACCTTCTACTATAAGAATGAATCTATCACACAAAATCCCACTACAGTACAGTTTAAGATATTTGGAGGCTATCAGGTTGCCTTCATTTCCGGATCATTAAGAAAAAACACTTCACTTGATACAGTTTCAAAAAGTCATTTAGTAAATACCCAAAGTCATTTCAAAGAGGCATGCATATGAAAAAGTTGCACATAAATTTCCAGAAAGGTAGAAAATATATATGTCAGGATAATACATTTAGTAGATAAGTTGTCCAAAGTAATTAATTACTAAAAACCCCATAGATAGTTACTAAAACTATTATCAGATGGAGTGGCAATAAAAAAAACAGTCCACTGGATTTGGGCAACAAATGAATTTAAATAAATAAATAAAAGTATTAACACAAACAATCCAAAATTTGCATAAGTTCTTAAATCTCCAAAGCTATCAAATTTAAAACTAGAAATCAACATGCTCCAAAACCAGAAAGTGACTATGTTACTAAGCCACAGTTTATTTAATTGGCTGTATTTGTACAATATGCTCAGCTAAAATGAAACAAATTGCCTTAGCCCAATATGAAAACCCACATATGGTTATTGATTGGGAAAGAAATGTGTGAAGGAGGAAAATGTATTCTTTTTACATACTGATTAGCTACAGTTTTCTATACCCCCGATACAAGCAGCATACTGTATGCTACATTTTATATAAATCTCATTTGTTTTTTTAAAACTTGGTTTTTAAAAACTTTAATGTTGCTTAATAAAATAAATACTTATTCCCACTAGCCCAGGTATTTACAATATGCCCAAAACAGTGATTTTGGAACAGCCACCCCCCCCCCACTTTTTTTTTTTTTTTTTTGATGCTGACAGAATTCCATTTTGCTGCTAAATTTTTGTGCATGTAGCCTGGCCACCTCTTCAGTAATATAGTTAAATATTATATTTACATTTAAAAATATAGTATTATCAGCTTTTAAAATACACATATCATCACACAAATAAAAAAGAAGCTGCATCAAAATAATGGCCGCTGTTCTGGCAGCACGTCTCAGTTGCAGAGGACGCGCTGGGGCTGAAGTAGAGGCCTAGTGGGGGAGTGGCAGCTGGCTGAGACTGCTGAAAGCCCTGGGCCTCTAGTTCATCCCCAGCTCCTGCCAAAAAGTACCATTGTGCAGGGTGGCCAAAAGGGAAGCGATTGGAGTGGGGGGGGGAGAGAGGTGAATGGACGAGTTGCACTGTTTCAGTGTTTGTAAGTGTAGACAAGCTGCCAAGTAGCCAAATTTTCATCATATAACTATGGGTATGCTACAATGCCATACATTTGGCATACATACATCCATTTTGCAGCAGCAACATAATTTCAAACAGTCTAGGAACAAATCATAGTTAAATTGAGGATTTTGCTAACAAGTAAAGGGACACTCGCTCGGTGTTATCAAACTTATTGATACAAGGTGAAAATGGCAGTTAAGAACCAAGTTTTCGAAAATGACAAGAAAAGGAAGTATGCAAACTTAAATGTCCTTTCAAAGGCCAGAGCACTTGTAAGTGATCTCAAGTGCTCTCCTTATCTGGAGAGGTTTGAAGAGCTTATCTAATGGCCTGCTCTTCATACTGCAGTCCTCAGTTATGCTTTTCACAGAACTATCTTAAATCTGCCTTTTCTTCTTCTGGAAATCCTACAACCTTATATCCCATACATTTTTCTCTCTCTCTCTGAAGTTTCTTTTTATCAACCTCGGTTTTAGAAATAGTTAATCTTCCTGTAAAATGGGATTTACACTTTATTTACAAGCCCATACTGAATAAAAATAGTAAATGCTAATAATAATTTCATTAGGTACATAATAGAATCAGGCATATTAAAATTCTGTTCAAACAATATATTTGACTTTATTCCACAGAAAAGGGAAATAAATGTGTATATTTTAAAAACTGCACATATTATGTTATTTTAGCTTGGGGTCTTTATAAATAATATCACTAATTTCTTTTTAAAAAACTAAAAGGATTATCTAGTGCTGGGCTAGACAAATTTTTGCCCTCTAGACATAGCTAAATTCCAACTTTCCAAAAGTTCAGCCAGTTGAACCATTCATTAGAGGTGAGGCAAGCAATCAACTGGAGTAGCTCTACAGACAGAATTCAGTTTTAATTTTACAATTTTAGCAAACTATTAAAAAATACACTAAATGGCAAAAACAATTAAGTAGATTAATTTTTTATTAGTTGAAGATAAGGAACATTGGATTTACCTGAAGGTTCTTTCTCCTTGCGCTGCGTGAGAGTCCACTGAGTGGGTTATCGTCCGATAGGCCAGAGATTGAGTAAGAAATTTGTTTAAACACACCTCCTCTTCCGGTTTAGCCCAGTTCAGCAACCAAGTCCGAATCCGAAGAAACAGATGCCTTGAGCAAAATATAAACAACGTAAAAGTCCTCATAAACTTACAAGGGAGGGTATGGACTCTCACGCAGTGCGAGGAGAAAGAACCTTCACGTAAGTCCAATGTTCCTTCTCCTTCGCGCTGCTTAGAGAGTCCATTGAGTGGGATATACCCAAGCTAAATATCCCCAGGGGGGGAAAAAACAGAGGAGGTGGACATATCCTCCATAGGGAGGACACTCTGAAGAACTCTGCAGCCAAAGGCTGCCTCGGCCGACGCAAACTTGTCCAACTTGTAATGACGAATAAAGGACGTCGGTGATACCCAGGTAGCTGCCCTGAAGATTTCAAGTAGAGGAGCCTGAGTGGCCCAGGCCTCGGTGGTGGCGGCCCTACGAGTTGAATGGGCTGTAACACAACCAGGGAGCTGCTTGTTCTTCCGTTCGTAAACCAGGGTGATGCAGGCCTTGAGCCAGTGGGCAATGGTGGGGGAAGAAACCCTGGAGCCGAGGGAGGTGGGCTGAAAGGAAACAAATAATGATTCTGATTTATGGAAGGAAGCTGTCCTGGAAATGTATTTCTTGAGTGCTCTACGAACATCCAAGGAGTGTCAATGGCGTTCGCTGGAATGAATGGGTTTGGGGCAGAAGTCAGGCAGTATGATCTCTTGAGCCCTGTGAAACCAGGAATTGATTTTCAGGAGAAAGGTGGGGTCCAGTCGCAACCGTCGTGGGTGTGTAGAAATGAATTCCAAGGTGACCCCAAGGGAAACTGTCTGGATGGCCCATGCAGTTGTAGTGGTGTGTCATATGTTAGAAAAGTATGCGAGATGACCTCCAATGGGGACCTGAAGAGAGGGGGCATTATTTCCTGCAAAAGGGACGAAACCCAGAGCCTCGAAAGGGTCGTCTGGTCTGAGGCTGGCGTGAGCGGTCTCTAAAGGGCTGTCTCTCCTGAGGTCTGTCAGTCATCTTACTGAACTGTCTTGGAGGAGCCGGGGCCTGAAACCTGGGTTTAGAGGACCAAAAGGACTGTCTGCGATAGGGGAAGTTAGATCGCCTATCGGATCGCCTGGATGCAAAAGGGAGGACCTTTCTTTTGTCCCTACTTTCAACCAGTATGGGATCCAAGGCCTCTCCGAAAAGGGACCCACCCTTGAAGGGGGTTGCAGCAAGACGCCATTTGGTCCTCATGTCCGCCTGCCAATGGCGTAACGACGCGACGTGATGTTGGAGGCCATAGCACGTGATGCAAATTTGACTGAGTTGAGGGTCGCATCTGCCATGTACTCAGTGGCGGCGATCATCTTATTGAGGTCCTGATGGAGGCGAGCATCCTCAGGAGATGCCCTGGTCTGCATTTGTTGAAGCCATATGAGAGATGTCCTGGCAAAAAAAGAGGCTGACATAGCTGATTTGATAGCCCATGTGGCAGCTTGATGAGTCTTACGAGTAGATATCTTGGCTCATCTGTCTTCAGTGCGAAGACCCTCTGCCACATTGGATGGAAGAATGCTGGAAGAAGTCAGACTGGCCACAGGAGGATCAATAGTGGGGAGTTTAAGCAGATCCTCAAATTCCTGTTCCACTGTGTACAATTTTTTGTCCAGTCCACTTGGATTAGATATGGAACCAGGTTGGGTCCATTGATGCTGGACGGTATCCAGAAAGCGTTTAGGAGATGGCATGGTCTCCTGCTCAGTTACCTTTTCAGTAAAAAGATGAGTGTTGGAATCACAGCAACTTCTGACATGAGCGTCGGGGAAATACCCATGTTGGTGGTGACTTTGGCCTTATGTAGCAAGGTTTTGAACAGCTCATGCCTGAAAAGACCCGTAGAAGGAGAACTGACCGAAGAGGGATCCTCCTTGTCATCCAAAAGACTGTAATCGAAGACCTCCTCCTCATTGAGGAACGACTGGTCACTGTGATGAGAATGTGAAAGAGAACAAGCGGCAGCAGGAGCCTCGTTAGTCAAATGCGAAGAAGCCCTGGAGGATTGGGTCATTGGCACCGGAGCAGAAGAGGGAGCCAGAATACCCCTTTGAGTAAGGGCCGTATCAATGCTTCTAGCAACAGTTTGCGCAATGAGATCATACATTTCCTGAGGTATGGAAGAAGAGTGACCCTCTTCCGGGCGGAGCCCTGCCGCTGTAGGGGTGAAAGTGGCAGAAGGTTGAGAAACACAAGATTGGTCAGAAACAGTTGGGTTGGCATCAGGACCCTGTGCAAAGACTTCTCTCACAACGGACTGATCCTGCTGAGTCGCAGTCATGTTGTTTGGCAACCAAGAAGAAGTATCCTGGTGAGGTAGCGTATCAGAGATTTGATCTGGAATTAGATTGAGAGGAACCGGCAGGACCGCAGGAGGGGGGTGAATGATGGCCTCTGCCTGCATTTTGGCTCTATCAAATTGCTTGTTTAAGGCCATGTGTCTCCTTTTGGCATCCCTTTCTGCAGCAGCAGAAGAGGTAGCAGTAGTGGCAGGGAGTGAATTGGCTTTAGATGAATGAGTGTCTTTAAATCTGCCCCTGCGCTGAGAGGGCGATTTGGCACTCCTTGTAGAGTGACTGTGGCCTGCCATTGAAATGAAATAACGAAAAAAATTGAGCTAGATCAGTCTGAGAAATTGCAGAGGTGTAGATGACAATATATTCCTGGAATAAACAAAGGGAGAGAACGTGAACCAAAGTGATCCCAATAACAAACTGAATAACTAATAAAATACAATACTTATGAACGGTGTAAAGAGAAAGAACAGTGCTGATTCACTAGTTGCAGGAAAACGAAATGGTGCCCGCTGACTATGCAGCACTGAAGCGGAAGAAAAAATGGCGGCCAATTAGCCGGGAGCCGACAACACAGCTCCGCACTAAAGAGAATACCCAGCAAGGAGGCTAGGAGCCAGCAACACAGCTCCGGGAACGCCCAAACTGATTAAATGACCAAATGGCGCGGGACAGGCACCACTGCCCCATTCGCGCCGAAGAAACAGCTCTTTAAAAGAACAACGAGGCCGACAACACAGCCTCAAATATTAAACAGGTTCGCTGGCAATAACAGGAAGAGCTGAGCCCCGGCAACACGGGGCTGTTCTCGATTCCCGCGGCACAAGGCCGACAACACAGCCTCCCACGCGCCCTCCAGTAGCCCACGGCTGATCTCAATATCCATGGCGTGAGGCCGACAACACAGTCTCCCAAATGCCCTCCATAACTCATGATTGAAAACGCGGCTCGACAGACGCGATCCGAGCCGCCGCCAGCAAAGCCGCTCCTCAGCTGATCGGCGGATAGCCGATCGATCGCACACGCCGTTCAATCTCCCTCTGCAAAAGTTGAAAACAGTACAAAAAGAAGAAATATTCTAAATTAGAGAGTCCAATGTGTAGAGCTCAAGGAAAAACAGGTCTCGAAGGCTCGGACTGGGTAAGGAACTGGGCTAAACCGGAAGAGGAGGTGTGTTTAGTCAAATTTCTTACTCAGTCTCTGGCCTATCGGACGGGGAATAACCCACTCAATGGACTCTCTAAGCAGCGCAAGGGAGAATAAATATTGTTTTATTAAGTATGCAACTAAAAAAAAATGGTAAGTGAGACATAGCAGAAAAAACAGACTTCATTTTCTTTATAGCTTGATAAATGCAAAGTATTAGAAAAAAGAGCCCTTCCAGAAACCATTCAAAAATACAATATTCTTTTGTTCCACATACCATAAGGTTTGCAAAAAATATTCTTCCATTTATTTATGTAAATACTTGTGGTTTAATTTGTAAATGGTTACAATTTATAAATTGCATACCAAGAAATTGGAAAGGCTCCAAATGGATATGATTTATTTTAAACAATTAAATACAAACAGCCAGTATAAATAAGGATTATATTAGAAGTCTCAGAATTTCTTGTCAAAGCTCTATCAACAACTGAAGTTTTACAAAGAATTGAATGGCATATATATCCTACACAGTAAATTGAATTAGTCTTATTGTACTACTTTTAAAACATCCAACACATTAATAAAATTAATTTACACAATTAATTTGATATACATCTTTGCATTATGGAACATGTGTCTGATTCTCCATACTATGAAGATGGCTTAGATTTATGTCACCAGTGACATTTTAAAATATTTTCATATTTTACAAATTTGCAGCAATCTGGAAATCTACAGTTTATAAGAGAAGGCCTGTGATTTAGACAAATGTGAGACTGATATTGTTTCAATAAACAAAAATAGTGAATATGTCTGACTGGTTCAGTAGGCACTATTTATGACAAATGAAGCCAATATGTCAATCTCACTGTGATGATTATTTTGGTTTCCCATCTGGTAGCTATCAAGATTATGACACAATATAAAGTATAAGAGATATTTTGATTCAAAGGGTCACTGATTGATTGGACCAATTTTGATCTGACTATAGCAATAACTCAGCATTAGAGAAGGAGATATTAGTAGCCTCTATGCTACTGCTAAATCCAGAGGTATTCATTTGGAAATGTCTACAAATTTCATGTGTTGAAAATGCAGCATGATTTGAATAAGAATTAGCATAGATTGCAGAAAGTCAATTATTTCTAATTATATATTTGATCCAACAAGATTTATTTTATTTCTTAGCTTTTCTTCTGTATCCTTCCTTTGCTGAGTTTCTAACTCAAACAGGAGCTCTAACATTTCTTACCAAATTGTTGCACTTTTGATGTTCTTTTTGGATATGTCTTACTACGACTTCTTTCAACTGTCTGGTTGGGTCGAGGAAGCTGGACAGAAATATCTTTATACATCTGCAAAGCTGTCTTCCCACTAGAAAATGCAACAAATATTATATGATAAGTTAACTGAAAACTACAAAGTAAAGTATTGCAATTTATCCCTAGTTGGGAAAAGGAGGATTTTAATTGAATTAAAAGTTCAAGTATCAGCAAGAGCTAAACCAATAAAACAAAAAATATGCCTAACTGGCCTGCCATTATAAGGTTTTCTGTTACTCTTAGTGTTTCTCAATTTGACGTAAAGCACTTCTATCTCTTTCACATTTTTACTTTATAATGTATATGGTATTGAAAAAGCACACCGATTTCATATTATGTGCTTCTTCGACCTTTTCTTTTTCTCAACTAGTTATGTCCATAACAATAGATTTTCAAAAGGATTTTTCTAAGGGATAGGATAGGATAGGATAGGATAGGATAGGATAGGATAGGATAGAATAGAATAGAATAGAATAGAATAGAATAGAATAGAATAGAATTTTTTATTGGCCAAGTGTGATTGGACACACAAGGAACTTGTCTTGGTGCATATGCTCTCAGTGTACATAAAAGAAAAGATACAAATAGAAGAGAAATAAAGTGAGTTTTTTCCCAAAAATACTTCCTGAAAAAAACCAGACAATTTCATTGAGTCTTTGCTGCTATCCCTTACCCCTAGAAATACCAGATTATTTTGCCATTGAGTTTGTATTGCCTATACATTTTGAAGAATGCAACATTTCATGTGCCTATAAAATGCCTTTAGTCTAAAGTTACCATCTTCACTATCATCAATTGTCCTCCAAAAGTTGATGTGTATATCTACGAAAAGCCCTTTCATCATAATCAACTTCTCAGGCCTAAGAAACTAATCTCAACCCAACAATTACCATTTAATACAATATGGAGTTCCCTGATTCACTTATTTAATCCAACATCTGATCTTCAGTTTATTTGCTCATACCACAATTGGTCACTTGGTGAAAAACCTGTCTTCAAATTTATCCAAAATCTGGCATGTGACCTTAGGACCACAAGCTATTATTATTGTTAAGGCCACTAGTATGATAAATTTAAACTAGGACTGTTTCCAAGAGTAGAAAGTGGTTACCTACCCTAGGAAACGTAGTAAATTTCATAATCAGTGCAATTTAGTCTTATGGCATTCAAACCTCATTTCTCATAGCACTTTATCCTTACTTTACCTTGCTTTCTTTTCTAGTGGTAACTATGTCTTTAGACACAACTATGTATCCACATCAACATGTTGCAAAGCAGACTGAAGCAATTACTATGTAGTCTTCTTGGCACCAATAGAAAAATGGCTTGTTGTTGCCTTCTTCCAGGATGTTTCCTTGACTTCCTATTCCATCCTACCAAGATCAGTCAAGGTTACCTAGATACTGCCATCCAGCTGGGCTAAAAGATAGACAAGTGGAATATCAGCAGGTATGGTTCCCCTTCATTCCGAAAGACAAACTGCTGATGCCATCCCCAGTTTCCAATTCATAATAATCAATGTGGCTGATACACTAGGATATCTATGAGAGTGTCCTAGAGATACGTTTTCAAAGATTCAAGAATTCAGAGATCTGTCTTTAGAAATTGTGATTTTAGAAGCTTTCTCTGTGTGTCTATCGACAGACCTCTGGTGCCAAACAGAAAGTAAAGGGAGTACAGTGGAAGAGAAAAGGGCTCCCCTGGGACCAGAGACGGGTGGCACATGAATTAACAACCGGTTCGCCCAGTACCAAAAATGTGAGGGTGCGCGCATGCACTTTGCTCGCGCATGCAGCTTGCATGCATAGGTGCAGCTTAAAAAATGTTGCTAAATAGGACGGCATAGTGCTGGGGTGGATGGCAGGCCGACACGCAGGTCGTAACTACCAGTTCACCCAAACCAATCCGAACCAGCAGCAGCCCACCACTGCCTGGGACCCAAAGTTCTCTGGTCCTCTGACATGGCTCTGGAAGAACAGAAAGCTATACCAGTAATGGAGTCATTTATTTTCCTGCCATATGAATCAATGAGATGGACCCTGTTTGTAACAAAATAAGGTAATAAAAATAAACCCTGCTACCTTGCTGAAGACTTCTCTCACCTTGGATTCTCCATCTCACCCTCCAAAGGACTGCTCTGCTCATTAGTAATGTTATCTTTAACTTCAGCTTAAAGGTACCCTTGAATTATTCCACTTAAGTAGCAACCAAACTAACTCCCTTCCCTAGGGAACCTTATTTAAAATCCCAATATTCCTGTTTATACAGCTAACTGTACAATATATAATTCTGTTAAATGCTTCTATTTTTTTTTGCATTTGTTACTTTTCTTAAGAAAGTTACTAAAGAATCTATATAAAGTGAATAAAACTTGTGTTAAGGGCCTAAATACAGAAATATTCTTTCGAGTGTATGAACCACAGAAATTGACTGAAGCTTGCTAATTTAAAGCCCTGATCTAAGATGATGTGTACAAATCAAGCATATATTTTTAAAAAAAAACCAGGCCTGGAATAGCAATCTATTAGATACTATTACCTACCAAAAACAAAACCCTGAACTTGACTGGCTAATAGTCAAGAAGTGTACCTACTTCAGTACAGATTGGTGTGTTCACACCAGATGCAGTGAACAGATCTCCACATTCTGCACACGCTGTAGTGTATACCATTAGCTCCACACAAAACAATTACAGTTAGCTAAACAAATGTCAATTATAGTGCCCAGATTCAAGATTTAGACACTTAATGTAAGGAAAACATACAAGAATTTCAGAATTTAAATGACGAACAATGTTCTGTAAATACTTTATAAAACAGTTTAGAACAAAGAGACATTCTACTGTTATTATGTGCTTTTCTCCTTATTGTTGCATATCTGATCGAATAACCTTTTCAGGTTAAACAACACAAACTCAAGGCCTTGTCAAGCCAGATCAGGCAGAAATATAGTGTGGTATACTTTACTGTCCCAGTTGTGATGGGTTCTAACAGTACATAAAACTTAGGCATGTATCTTCAAATATGTGTCCATGCTAACATTTTTAAATCATAATTTAATCATTTTTCAGAGTGGGACTCTTTACTCAGTTATGAGGGTAAGAAAGAAGAAGAGTCATGCTTCTCATAAGCTGCCATAATATACACACTTTATATTTACATCACACTTAAATTAAGAAATCCCAGGAGAAGTTGATGCTGTAAAACTTTATTTTTTATTACCATTAGTGTCCTATGGCTCTTTCAAACCCAAATACTATTTGCTAGCCCCAAATTTGGGATAGCTCATTGCTTACGATAATTTCTAAAGCATTCAGTTTTAAGTAATCACAGAGTTACATTCCTAACAAACTTACAAACTGAACCTAAAATGACAGTAAATGTCCTAATGATTCAGAATATAAAATTTAAATATGCTGGCTATATTTCAAGTCATTTCCAAGTAGAAGAAACTTATCTACTCCAAGTATACATGAAGGAAATGATATACAGGCACATACATCTATTCTCCCTCATCACACACACACAAAAAAGCCATCCAATTGTTTATGATACTGCAGTCCAGCAAGGCAGAAACATTTAATATCCATGAAATTACCAGGAATACATTTTGACTCCAATAAGTTACTACATGCCATTACAATCAACCAACGAACTATATATTTGTAAACAGAACTCTTAAAATATTAAAGCATATTTCAGCTTTACAAACTCTGCAGCTGTAATTTTAATAAAAGGCTGGAGATGAGTTCCTCAAATCCCTTTTAAAGCTTTGATTATAATATTTGTCTCAAAAAATGGACTGAAAATCACAGCAACAATACCTAAACTTCCAGATTCCATGAACTAAGAAAAAACACCACATAAATGCATCTTGAAATATAGCTTCAAGTCACAACAGTAACATTATCTTATTCTTACCTGTATCGATGTTTATAACCAAGAGATCCAAGTTTGCCAAGTTTTCTTGATAGAGAATTAGATTCATTTTCTGGCATTCTGTTTCAATTTAAAACACAGAGTACATTTGTCTTTGTAGGACTAGCCATAAATAAAAGAGAATATTGATTGCACATAATCTCCTTCTCTATTACTACTGGGGGCTCATATGCTCAGAATCAGCTGTCCATCTTGTCACCAACTTCCTGTAAATTGAAGCTGGTCTGAGATACTCTGCTTTGAAAGTTGGATTATTTCAGAAAAACACCTCCCACAAGGTTATTTGTGATGCGCTGGCTGCAATTGACAAACTGCAAAATTTTCCATCCTACTGGCAGGCTCTGCACTTCCATGACCGTTTTCACTCTGGCTACCAGAGATCCAGCAGCACCTCCCTCCCCATCCCCTCCCAATCATAATTGAAGGGCGATTTTTCACTGCAGTGTTTTTTTTTCTTTGAGAACTGGAAATCACATAGTTTTTTTTTTAAGTTCATACAAATAGATCCATACAAATATTAATTTTTAAAATCACACGAATTTTCACCTCCACAGAAGAAATGCTGAATATTTGATACTTTAAGAAAGGAACAAGACTGAAGAAGGGGAAATCTTCATTGGGGATGTTTTTTGAGGGTAGCCTGAATACACCTCGTCATTTTTCTCTTAAAGTTTCTTGTGCATTACTCTTTGCTTGCCACCAAACCTTATTCAATTATATGTCAGATCCTTGGCACTATATTTCCACAGAGATGGCTCCTGGTTTTCTTGGGTAAGAACTGAGACCACAGTGCCTGTGTTTTTTTCAGGACTGAAATACCAGCATGTATTTCTGATGGTTGCAGCATCCCGGGGTCCATGACTGCCATTTGAGACCTTCCCAATCAGCTTCCAACAAGCAAAGTCAATGGAGGAAGCCGGATTCACTTTTTTTTAAAAAAAATTGATTTATATGCTGCCCTTCTCTGGAGACTCAGGCAAGCAATAGCCTTCATACTTTTGTATATTTATACAAAGTCAGCTTATTGCCTCCACAAACTGGGTCCTCATTTCACCTGTCTTAGAAAGGATGGAAGGCTGAGTCAACCTTGAGCCTGGTGAGATTCGAACTTACAGTAATTGCAGACAGCTGGTGTTAATCACAATGCTATCAGTCTGCTGAGCCACCATGATGTGATTCACTTAACAACTGTGAGTGCAAGTCAAGGACTACCTGTATTTTCTTTTTGATTCATTCATGTCTGAGGGCTAATATTCAGAGAACATAGAATAATAGGGTTGGAAAGGATCTTTGAGGTCTTCTACCCCCTGCTCGAGTAGGAGACCCTAACCATTAGTTCTATGGTTCTACCATTTGTTCTGTGCAAGGGCTTTCCTTGGTATAGGAAAAATCTTTGCTGCCCATTTGGGTTACAAAAAATGGACAGCAAGGAAAAAAGCAGGAAAAAAAAAAGACTAAGTTAAGAAAAATCACCATCTCAGAGTTACTCATTACTGTAATTGGAAAAATCTTGCTTGTGCAGTTGTAGACCAAAGCCAGTGGCTACTTATCTTCCATTCTTATTTTTGGATCAAAACCAGTGTAATGAAATGTGCACACCTATCTTAAACACAGCTAGACAAACAAAAGAATCCGAAATACTTGATTTTTAAACTTTAGATAAGATTTAAATATATCTTCCCTAAACTACTCAGATATACCTTTTTTAGTGTTGTTCAGTAACAGATTCCTCAGTTTCAGCTCACTTACCTGAAGAACGTATGCTGTTCTACACAACATTTCCATAAATGCTTGCATGCAGTTTTGTTGTGTGCTTCAAAAAAGAAGGAAGTTTCATTACACTGAAATAAAAAAAAATTGATAATATTATGGGGATCACTCTGATGTAAAGGATTTGCACTATACTGAGCATGTAGGTGCTAAATACATTTTTTTATGTCTAGCCTCCTAGATCAAACACCATTTGTGATCATTGAGAATTTTACTGAAGTTATGCCTACTGATACAGTGTAGAAACTTTGATCACTTTATCTTGGGAGATCAGGCATTACCTCAAGTACTATTTAAATAATTTTGAATGTTGGTAGGGCTTTTGTCTTCCTTTGGTTCATTAACTGGGAACCAAATATATGCACCAGAGTTGTTTTAAATACAAATTGATTTGTAGAGCATACCAAGATATAGGACTGACCTACAACAAAAGTAATGCTCAAATCACTGAGAGATATGCAGAAATTAGCAGAATTAGCAGAAATTATTCTAAATAGATGTTTATCAACTGTGAGATGTACAGAAAATGCTCCTGAAGAAAGTTTGAAGTGTTTTTTTTCTTCATGAAATCACTTCTATCGAAATGTTCTAAACATTTTTTTTTAAAAAGGAAATTCGGGCCCAAAAAATATTACTCTTTCAATGAAACTGTCAGTTTAATTCATTCATAGAAAATGTAAGTGGAATTAGAGTACTTTTAACAACTAAAGAAAATCTGCTATTGTTTATACAATATCTAAAACATGAATAAAAATAATCTTATTATAACAGATTGACTTTTAAAATGAAAAAACCATATACAACCTTATAAAGCACTAATTTTTTAAAGTACACAGTAATTGCAGGATTTAACTTCCTTCTTGAATATCACCCTTCTAGCCCCACTAATAAATTATAAGATCATTGGGGTGCATCTGAAATACTATTTGCATCCTTGACGTTATTCTAAGATACTTGAAATAGAAACTATATATACACTTTATCAAATAATAATTGACATAGTGAGCATCTGTGACATGTTTTCTTTTAAAAATCTAGCAAACAGAAAACATTAGGAAACAAAGTTCTAATCTCCTTCAATATGGAAAGTCAAACCACACTCTAATAAGAGCCTTGGTGGCGTAGCAGATTAAAAGCACTGTTAAGTAACACCAGCTGCCTGAAGTTACTGCAAGTTCAAATCTCACCAGGCTCAAGGTTGACTCAGCCTTCCATCCTTTCGAGGTAGGTAAAATGAGGACCCAGTTTGTGGGGGCAATAAGCTGACTTTGTATAAAAAGAACACCACTGGGGGGGGGCGAAAACCCTACTAAGCAGGTATATACAAAAGTATGAAGGCTATTCCTTAACGCATTGTAAGCCTCCCTGAGTCTCTGGAAAAGGGTGGCATATAAATCGAACCAATAAATAAATAAATAAATTTGTAATTGGCTTTTCTAAAATGTGATACTCAGAACCAGAAACAATATTCTAGGTATGATATGATCAACACAAAACAGAGAAGAACAATCACTTTGTGGGTAATCTTGGCACTATATTTTCGTTGATTTCAGCCTAGGATTAGATTTCTTTTATTTGGAGGTGCAGGGGAGGTGCATACACTATTGGCACAGGTTCAGCTTGTGAATCACCAAAAAATTCAGATACTTTACACATGTACCGCTGTAAATTAAGGTTACACCCTTTGATTTTTCATATTCAAATGAAGGACACAGTATTAAAGTTTTTCTTTGTGGATTCTGTCTATTGTTCCAGCTTGTCAAAATTCTGTATTTTGAGACTGATAAAATAGATGCTTAGCATTCCCTTGGATAACGTATTTTGTAATCCCCTATCAAAGTAATTTATAAATATGTTGAATACAGTGCCTAGAACAAGGTTCTGTAATATTCACTTGACATCTCCTTCCATCTCAGTGTGAAGTTACTTGATGTATAGTAACTGGGTATAACTGTTCAACCAGTTCTATAATTATTTAAAGATAGCATAGATCAATCCACATTTTGACCTATTTTCTACTAGAATTTCATTGGAACGTTATCATTAAAATCAATCCGAATAGATTTGGAAAATAGATGCAATGCAGTTTGGACATTCATATCAATGCAGAAAATTGAATACATTTAGATTTTCAGATAGAAAAAATACACGTACACATATACAAAAGTCTGTTACATCTTTAATATGGTTTGAAACTTTCCAAATTGAAAGTTGGTTTGAATCAGGGGTGAAATGCTCCCGGTTCGGACTGGCTCGGGTGACTAGGTAGCGATGGCGGTGGACAGTTCGGAGAACTGGTAGCAAAAATTCCTGCCCCCGCCCCCCATGCCCAGCTGAGCCCCGCGATCATCAGAGCCTTTTTTTCCTTTTAAATGGCTCTGACCAGCCAAGTTCTGACATCCCATTAGCTCTGCTAATCAGGCAACTCAGCTTGGATCATCAGAGCCATGTAAAAGAAAAAAGGTTTCTTTTTTTCTCCCCCCCCACCAGCCTCCAGCTTGCTTACCTTAGCTGCTGATTGCATGACGATCGCAATCCATGCATCAGCAAGCAACTGAATGTCCCTGCCTGCAATCAAGCTCATTAGTGAGCAGCTCTTTCTACCTGCCTGCCTTCCTGCCTAGACTTGTCGACTTCAACTCCCAGCAAAGCTGGCTGAGGAATTCTGGGAGTTGAAGTCCACAAGTCTTAAAGTTGCCAAGGTTGGAGACCCCTATTCTATTGGGTAAGTTTTTTTCCCCTTTGGGAGCTTTAAAAAAAATAGTTAATTGGGGGTTTTTTTAGTTGTTTTTTTTTTAGACCTAGCCATTTAAAGTTTAGGAAATTTTAAATTTAGCTGCTTTTATATAAAAATAAAAATAAAATAAAATAAAATAATATTTGTGCAGCTTTCTGAGATTTAGTGTGTTTCTGTAGTGTTTCACTCTAACTACCCAAACACACAAAATCTCACAAAGGTGTATGTGGAATTTTGTGTGTGTAAAGTGTGAAAGTTGGTTTTTTGGGCTTTTTGTGGCTGTGTGAGGTTCCTGCTTGTTGCGGGGCCATTTTGAATCTAGCACAGCTGCTTTTACATTGTGGGTGAGCCAGTTGTGTTGTGTTGTGTTTTGTAGGTTAAAAAAGGGCAGAGAAGTGACATTGACTTGGCCACGCCCACCCAGTCACCTTACCACCAAGCCCCACCCACTAATTAAGCCACGCTCACAGAACTGGTAGCAAAAAAATTTAGATTTCACCCCTGGTTTGAATCACTCTGGAGTTTCAACTTGGAAATGTCAATTATACTGCTGAATTATACAATATTCACACAATCTACATGTTTCGCACAAGATATACACTAGGTATCTTCTAACAGCAATGTTGAAAGACCTTATCATTCAGCAGCATTCCTTTAACATGTTCCTTTTTCAAAAGGAGAAATGAAAAACAGGACCATTCCACTGAAAAATCAGAGGAAAGAAACAGCTTAATGGATCTGCTCCCTCTCTCAGGGAAACAGCAGAGAGAAAGATGGAAAACAAGGCCAGACCACTGTCTCAGCTAGGATTCAAATGTTTGTAGTTCGGGAATTTTTTCTTTTGCAGCTAGACATATTCAGAAATTATGCTTAAAGGAGCTTCTTTCTTCAGGCTCTATCCCAATCTCTTTATGTGTGTGGGTGTGTGCGTGCAAGTGGGTATATTCTGGTTTTTAGACAGCAAGCTTTTAAAAGGATCCTTTTTTTTAAAGCAGGTCTTTATGAGCTGCTGTGTAAGGTTTTCAGCTAAAAAAGATAAAATACTTGAAATAAGTCAACAAGACATAAAAAAACTACTGCATTTTTTAAAAAAATAACGAGTATATATTACACACAATTTAAGAATGTGTTTTGGGGATGATCTCTCCAACTAATTTCACCTTACACTTCAATTGGTAATTTATCAACAGCACATGTGTGATTGCTACTTTCTACCCCTCAGGACTGAATTTTAGACAGTCCATCTACCCAAACATGTTTCAGCAAGTATCAGTACCTGGCTGATCTTGTTGGAAGTAAGTTGGAAGCTAACAAGAATGAACCTGGTAAATATTTGACTGAGAGAATAACAGAGCTGCATGCTAGATTGAGAAGCTGAAGAAATGTCCTGGAAGAAAGTCATTGCAAAACACTTCTATATCATGTAGCCCATAAAGCTACAAAGATATAGGTATCAAATATTTATTGATTTACTTTGACACAGACCCTCCTAAACTTTGTTATTTGTTGGGTAAATTTGCTTTGTTTCTGATCCCTCTCATCCTCAGATTGGAGATCTTGGAAGAATAAGAGTTAACTTTTTGATCTCGAGTTACTATTACCAAGCAGTTTGCTCTATTCATTTTGCAATCACCAAATATGGATACTACTTCACTGCCATTTAAAATAGGAATCATCACTCCAGCTAACATTTCTACCGTATGTAGAACGTTTCCAATACCAAAAAGTTTTGGGCAAACTCTGTCCCTATCTCTTTGTTTCTTCATTACTGAATTACTGTGATGGCCAGTATATACAATCCCAATTGTAGTACAAAAATATAATTTCATCATTTAACTAAAATAAGAATGGTTTTAATCAGGATTAGTAACAAAATCAAGTCATATACAGACACATTTTTTTTCTTTTAGTGACCCTGCAATCCAGTGGTGGGTTGTGCCTGGTTTTGTCCGCCCACCCGCCCAGACATCATAATTGATGATCTGGGAATGCGCAGAAGCTCGCGCGCGCACGCAAAGCGAGCTCCTGTTGCACATGCTCCCATTGTGAACCGGTAGTAAAAGTAAGTAGAACTCACCCCTGCTGCAATCCCTTGCATTGGGAGGAAGTCAGGCAACTGAATGGAGCTGAGCATTTACTGGCTTGATGCCCTTGCTGATTCCTATGTGGAATTCACAGTAAATACTTTCTCTTTGTGCCCAGATAGAGAAATATCTGTTGCTAACTAGGATCGAGCTCACGGCCTCCTGATTGGGAAGTGAGAGCTCCACCTATAGGCCACCATGACATTCATACAGGCACATTTATTATATGCATACATTATACATTAGCTGCCTTACTTTCATGTGGTCTCATTTATGTAGACAGTACAGGCAGTGCAAACATTCTACTGTAACAGTTGTATTAGAATTACAACTTTTTCTTCCTAGTGTTTTCCTATAAGTTCAGGGTCTGTTTTGGATCAACCAAAAGTAGAACATTTACTTGTGACTGGAACTGATTGATTGGCTTGTCACCCATGCCTGATGTTATGGGCTAGAGACAGTGACTGCCTAAAGTCACCCACTGAGGCTTTCGTGCCTAAGGCAAGACTGGAAATCAATCTCCTGGTTTCTAGACTGATGCCTTAATCACTAGAGCAAACTGGCTCCCATGTGTTGGAATTATAACTGCCAGACATAATCCGGAGGGTATCATGTCAGGGAATGCTACATGATAAGAACTTTAAAAGCCCCACCTCAAATGTAAGAGGTAAACAAAAGAGCAGTAGCTGAGGTATTACCAATTATTTTCTACAATTTTTCCCATTAATAATAATAATAATAAAGTTATGATGGTACTGAAAAAGACTTACTTGTCCTTGAAGTTCTGGCCATCACAGAACCACTGCAGTCACATTATCACAATCTGGGTACTTGGCAATTGGCTTGTGATATCCCATGGTCATGTGATGACTGTTTGCAACTTTCCCTGCTGGCTTTCCACAAGCAAAATCAATGGGGAAGCTGACAGGGAAGGTCATAAATTGCTTGCACAATCCTCTGTCTGGAAATACCCACTCCTGATCCTACCACAATGGAACTATTCCTTGCACGCCCTCCCCTGCCCAACCACTCCGGCTTTCCACATTTCCATGTCTTGCAGGCCAAGACATGGCAATAGCCATCCCTGGCCCTATACCTTACATGGCTGCCTGCTTGTAAGCTGCCTGGGACTCATTTAACAATGTGTGATTTCCATTGTTAAGTAGTATGTGATGTCATGCTTTATGACCACATTGCTTGGTGATGGAAATTCTTACTTATTATCATCCTTGACTGACTACTTATAGTTGTCTACAGAACAATCCTTTGCAGATTTACCCATAAATCTCACAATTATTTATATTCTGAAATTATTGGATCTATAACCTACCTTTATTTTGTACTACTCAAATGTGTAAATATTCCTGCCTCCTATTTTCCTCACAACACCTAAACTGTGAAGTGTGTCGGTCTGGCCCACAATCACGGAGCCAGCTTATTAATACCTTTTATTGTTTTCACACTTTTTACAGGATTGTATAATACACTTAAGGGACGTGGATGGCTCAGTGACTAAGACTCTGAGCTTGTTGATCAAAAATTCGGCAGTTCAGCGGTTTGAATCCCTAGTGCCGCGTAATAGGGTGAGCTCCCATTACTTGTCCCACTTCTGCCAACCTAGCAGTTCAAAAGCACATAAAAATGCAAGTAGAAAAATAGGGACCACCTTTGGTGGGAAGGTAACAGCATTCCGTGCGCCTTTGGCGTTTAGTCATGCCAGCCACATGACCATGGAGACGTCTTCGGACAGCACTGGCTCTTCAGCTTTGAAACGGAGATGAGCACTGCCCCCTAGAGTTGGGAACGACTAGCACATATGTGCGAGGGGAACCTTTACCTTTATAATACACTTAATTTAAAATTATAAAAATATAAACTTACATCTTTTCCCAAAACTCTAAGTTCAAAGTGAGCTTCTTTGAAGTGGACCCTGGTAATTCTAGGCCTAAAATGTTTTTTTTAAAAAAAGAAAAAAAAACACATAAAGATAGAAATGAATTTAATCGGGAAATATTGAAAGAATCACTCTAACTATAAAAAATTAATACAGTAGCCATTCTTTAATTCCTTAGAAACATATAGGTATATCTATACCAATTCTCTATAATAGATAGATCAGACATTAATTCTAAATTGGAAATAAGCATTCCATAGCCCACAATGACCCTAAGCTGTATTTCCCCCAAGCTGTTTTATTGCAGTACAAAATGCAAGTAATACATTATAGATGCAGGTAATAACTGAATACAGTGGTGTGTATGCAAAGAGACTAGAACCTGTTAACACTTTACCGACAGAAGAGATTATTTGTAGCATAGGGTTGAATTGTGGGATCTCTCAGTCATATGACCACAATTTGACTTTTTACCAAAAATCGGCTTTTATTTCCAGTTTTTGCAAAAATGCCCTAGAGCAACCATGGGTTTGCTTAACAACTGATTCACTTAATGACCAAGCGATTCACTTAACAACTACTGAAAGAAAAGGTTGTAAAATCAGGTTGGACACGTGATCACCTGCTTTACATCATCACAACTTATGACCATAATGAGCAAACTCTATTATGGTTATAAACAGAAGACTATGTATGTAGTTATCAAAGCATACATGGGTGTATTCACGCAATCATCAGGACTCACATCTCAATCAAAGGGACTTTTTTCTTTACCAATTGAAGGAAAAATATTTACGGTACTTGGAAGATTGAACAGATGGAAAAGAAGGAACAAAGTTTGCATATGTATTGTTGCTTACCATCCATTTTGATATGGGCTATAGATTTTACTTACCAAAAATACTTTCCTACTTGCTTTTTATTCTTATAAACAACTACTCCTATAGGCTTCAATCCCAGAAAATATTCAGATTTGTTTTCACCCTGGAAAAAAATGTTAAATTAAGTTAAATTGTATTTGTTAATGTGATACTTTTTTCAAAAGAAAAATGCTTTTCATAAAGATCACTGTATAGAGATAAAGAATAACATTTTCTAAGCTGGTTCCATTATAGTAGTTGCAAAAAAAATAAAAAAAATCCATTGTCAATATTAAATAAGCTTCCACTCCCTCCACTTAAGTCTGAGCCTACTCATTATCTATTTCCTGTTATTTTGAACCTCTTAAGGACTTTACTCAGATTCTGTGTTACTTTTATAATTTCTTGCCTGAACATATCTGTTGCATGTATATTCCTTTTATCTTCTAATGACACTTAGAATAAATCCCTCAGATTTGTAATCTTATACTTTTTATAATAGTTATTTGCCTTTTGTACAGCAACGCAACCACAATCTTTAACAGAAAGTTCCCTAATCCATGCATATCTCAAATATGAATTTTCAAAGATTTAACTTTTGTCTTTAAAAAAAGGATCTTGTTCCAGAGTAACAGAATTACTGCTTTGCAACAGGTAATCAAGGATTGCTGACCCTGTCCAGGATCCAGAGAATTATATAGTACAGTCTACAAACCTAGTAGGCTCAGCCTCTTGAACATCTTCTAAACTGCTTTTGGAATGGAAGAAAGTAAAAATAAATTTGTGGTTCAGCACTATAATTTCCTTTTCAAGGAAAATAATTCAACAGTTCTATTAACATAGGGACCCCCAACCTCCAGGGCAAGGACCTGAACCGATCCACAGCCAGTAAGGAAGCAGGCTGCACAGCTGGAGGTGAGTGAGTGAAGCTCATATGTATATGCAGCCACTTCCCATCACTGTCTCAGCTCCACTTTAGATCATCAGTCATTATATTCCCATAGGAGTGCTAACCCTACTGTAAACTGTGCATGTGAGAATCTAGGTTGCATGTTCTTCCTCCTCTATCTGTGGAAAAATTGTCTTCCACAAAACCAGTGCTTGGTACCAAAAAGGTTGGGGACTTTTAACTTTAAAAAATATTACTTACATAGACAGGATAAAGATCCACTCCATACATTTCAAGTGTCTTTGCTACTCCTAAGTAATTCAGTTCTGCCTCAGCTGGAACTTGGCCCCTGTTGAATAAATAGCAATAGCACAGACTTATATACCACTTCACAGTGCTTTACAGCCCTCTCTAAGCAATTTACAGGATCATCATATTGCCCCCAACAATCTGGGTCCTCATTTTACGACTTTGGAAGGATGGGCGTTGAGTCAACCTTGAGCCATTCAGAATTGAATTCCTGGAGTGAGCAGTGAGTTAGCTCTATAGTACCGCATTCTAACCACTGCACTACCATAACATTCTTAGATGTATTTATTCAGAACAAAGTAAGTCTAGCTAAATGGACATCTTATACAGCACACTAAAATCCTTACAAATTATAAAAGATGTTCATCTGGGTTATATAATCCAAAACCTTCAAAAATTAGGAAAATATACAATCTGTTGTGACCTCGGCTTCCTGAGTCGTTAAAACACACGAGTAGTCCCAAAAACCTCTTTTATTGCAACAACTGTGAATTGCGTTCATTCACAGCTGAGTCCCAATTAGTTGCAAAAAGTCCTTCAGGAGAAGTCTTTATCACCAACCTTTATCTCCCTTCACATGCTGCCAAAGACCTACGTGGCAAAGCCACACAGAGTCCAGAATCAAACAGTGATGCTGACTGGGAACAGAATTAACAACGTTGCTTTCCTGCAAGGGCCCCACATTTCTTTGTTCCTCTTTTAAGCCTCATGGGAGGGGCCAATCATCTCCAGGCCTTACTCCCGAGTCGTTCCTTTTAGTTTTAACTGTTCTTGCCTTCTGGCAGCTCTGTGCATGCATGCACTAGGAACAGGCTCCTCCTGTTCCTCTGCCTCTCTGATGTCCGACTCTGGAGGCTCCAGAGTCTGTGTATAACTCTCAGTTGGCCCTGGCCCCATCTCTGCCTGCAGAGCCCTCATCCGAGCCTTCCCCAGACTCCAAGACTGGCCCATGTTCCTCCTCAGCCTCCTCACTGTCCGACTCCACTGCCAGCTCCACCGGCTGCTCGCGGACTACAACACCTTCTACCATTTCAGAGATACATGTACTAGCTATATGAAAAATATTTTCAGCTAAAGCTCATGCAGTTTTTATTTGGAGCCCAAATGGGACTGTATAGAAACTTTGATTCCCAAAAGAACATAGAGTCAATATTTTAAGAAATACATTTAAAGTGAGAGAATATACATTTAAAGTAAGAGCCTTGGTAGTACAGTGGTCTAAAGCACCCTGTTATTAAGACCAGCTGCTTGCAATTACTGCAGGTTCGAATCTCGCCAGGCTCAAGGTTGACTCAGCCTTCCATCCTTTCTAAGGTAGGTAAATTGAGGACCCAGTTGTGGGGGCAATAAGCTGACTTTGTATAAATATACAAAAGGATGAAGGCTATTGCTTAGCGCATTGTAAGCCGCCCTGAGTCTCCGGAGAAGGGCGGCATATAAATCAAATTAAAAATTAAAAATAAAAATAAATATGTGTCCAGTGCAATTCTTCATCAAGAGAGTGGAATGATCAAAGTAAAGACTAATATATGGTTATGTTTTCTTACTAAGCTACTACCTTTTCCTTTGGGTTTATGCTCTTTCACTTTGAAGATAATTTTGAAAGATATTGAAAATTATTCCAGCAGAAACCGAAGTACTAGGAGTTTTCACAAGATGCAGTCTGATAATGTACTGTGGGCAGGCAGTGTCAATTCTTAAGCAGCATTATGCATTTGGAAGGGCAACAAGATCAGTTTGCTCTCCTTAGAGACATATATTTTAGAAGCAAATCTTTTTCAGGTCAGCAAGATACTTACATGAAATGATCATCTCCAAATTTAGAAGAATTATAACCTTAACAAATTTGTAAGTATTTTCAACAGCTTTCCTTCAGAGGAAAATGTTAAAAGTCTGGTAGACTTGCCCTTGTGGCGCAGGGACTATTGAATCTATACCCACATTCAGTTGTAATTGCACCTTTTATAAAAAATACAAGGTTACATTTTGTACACCTCTTTCAGTAAATTTTCTAGGCCATTCAGATCTATTTTATGTAATATGTTGATTCTCTTTCTTTGAATGTGGCAAAAATCAGTTTGCTTATAGAACTCCCTATGAATTGACTACACTGCAGTAAAGTTCCTCTTTTATAGTTACTTGTACTTAGTATTTATTTTATTGTGATTTTGTGGAATACCTATCACAGAACATATTGAATTTGTTGTTCAATACAAAGAAAATCAAATTGCTACTATGTCCATGTGATTATATTATTATATTATATTATATTATATTATATTATATTATATAATTATATTATAATATAATTATATTATATTACTCATTGTTTACAGTTAAACCCTAACCCTAACCCTGATCACTGCCCTGTGATGCACTATTTATAAGATTATAGATACAAGAGTTTTAGTAGTTTATTCATCTTTTTTTCACCCCCACCACTTTGATTAAACGTGTCATGCTTCTGAATCTATAGATATACAGGATTTCCTACCAGTATTTTTCATGTTCATCTATATTAGCGATGGCAAACCTGTGGCATGCAGAGCCATATCTGTGGGCACATGAGCGTTGCCCTAGCTCAGCTCCAGCGCACATGTGTGCACCAGCCAGATGATTTTCAGGCCTTCCGGGCACACCAGAAGTCACGAAATGGGCTGTGTCTGGCCTCCGGGGGGGAAGGCCGTTTTCGACCTCCCCAGGCTCCAAGAAAGCTTCTGGAGCCTGGGGAGAATGAAAAAAGGACCTTCCGGTCCCACCGGGAGTCGGGAAATGGGCTGTTTCCAGCCTCCAGAGGGGTGGGGAAGGCTGTTTTCGCCCTCCCCAGGCTCCAAGAAAGCCTCAAAAAATGGGCCTACTGGGTCCATAGGGCCATTGTGTGCCAAAAGCAGGGGGTCACACCTGCTGTCATGCACGCATGTGCAGGCCACATTGAATTCTGGGTGTGGGCACGCGCACACGTGACCCCCCACGTGACCCCCACTTTGGAACGCAGTGGCAAAAAGGTTAGCCATCACTGATCTATACTATTTAGTGGTGAGATTTGCATATGCTAAATCATAATGTGGCATGCATGTCTGGCATAACATGAAATGTAAATTAATTCATTTGTTTATAAACCATAGTTTATAAATCTAGTAAAATATACTTATCATTATGAAAACATGAAGCCTCTTAAGTCAATTCAGTTGCTACAATTTCACAGAAATATTTCTGAAATTTTCTTAGCAGCAGCAAAGAAGTGATTTTTCACTGCCTTACCCTAGGGTATATTTTAACTTCCTACTCTACTTTATAACCCCAAATAGTCACTGACTGTCTCCTATATAAATATAAGCCAGGCCAAGACCTGCTTAGCTTCCAACTCAAGACAAAGTTGTCCAGATGCTTCCACCTAGATAATTGTCTATGGTTATGAACCTAGCCATCTGTATTTTACTAAGTAAACCATAATTTTGAAAAACAAATCAGTAAGATATTCAGACCAACATCTCCAGTTAGAAATCACAATCATATCCTGGCTGTAATATGCATTTAGAAAACACTAAACTAAAATGTATTATATTTACGTTTGTTCTGGATAGATAAGAAAGGGATCCAGCACCATGGGAGCACGGTGGGAGGCACCGTGTTGCGGTGGTTCTCCTCCTTTCTCTCCGACCGGTCGCAGTTTGTGTTGGCAGGGGGGCAGAGGTCGACCTCGAGGCCTCTCATCTGTGGAGTGCCGCAGGGATCGGTCCTCTCACCCCTTCTGTTCAACATTTATGTAAAGCCGCTGGGCGAGATCATCCGTGGCTTCGGGGTGAGATACCATCAGTACGCTGATGACACCCAGCTGTACATCGCCACCCCAGGCCACCCCAATGATGCCCTTGAAGTGATGTCCCAGTGCCTGGAGGCTGTGCAGATCTGGATGGGGAGGAACAGGCTCAAGCTCAACCCTTCCAAGACTGAGTGGCTGTGGCTCCCGGCATCCCGATATAGTCAGTTGACTCCATCACTGACTATTGGGGGCGAGTCTTTGGCCCCCACAGAAAGGGCTCACAATCTGGGAGACCTCCTGGATATGCAGCTGTCCTTGGAGGAACATCTGACAGCTGTAACCAGGGGGACCTTTTGTCAGGTTCGCCTGATTCGCCAGTTGCGGCCCTTTCTTGATCGGGATTCCCTATGCACAGTCACTTATGCCCTCGTCACCTCTCGCCTTGACTACTGCAACGCTCTCTACATGGGGCTTCCCTTGAAGAGCACCCGGAGGCTCCAACTGGTCCAGAATGCAGCAGCGTGGGTAGTGACGGGAGCAGCATGGCGCTCCCATGTAACACTGCTCCTGCGCGAGCTGCACTGGCTCCCAGTGGTCTTCCGGGTGCGCTTCAAGGTGCTGGTTATCACCTTTAAAGCGCTCCATGGCATCGGGCCAAACTATCTTCAAGACCGCCTGCTGCTACCGACGACCTCCCATCGTCCCGTGCGCTCCCACAGAGAGGGCCTCCTCAGGGTGCCATCAGCCAATCAATGTAGGCTGGTGACCCCCAGGGGGAGGGCCTTCTCTGTGGGGGTACCTACCCTCTGGAATCAGTTGCCCCCAGAGATAAGGAAAATCCAAGACCTTAGTGCCTTCCACCGTGCCCTTAAAACCCACTTTTTCCAGCAAGCTGGGCTGGCTTAAGAAGAAATTTTAAATGTTTTAATTGGTTTGTATTTTTAATTTTGGGCCAAATTTATATATATTTTAATTGTTTTTTAATACTTGTATTTTATGTTTTTTAATTCTGGCTGTACACCGCCCTGAGTCCTCAGGGAGAAGGGTGGTATATAAATTTAAAATAAATAAATAAATAAATAAATAAATAAATAAATAAATAAATAAATAAATAAATAAATAAATAAATAAATAAAATAAAATAAAATAAATAAAATAAATAAATAAGCATATTTTAAAAAGCAATCAAAGAAAGGTCATTCTCAGAGAAATCTGCTTCTTTAAGGCTTTTTCTTTGCACAAGTTGTCATTTGACATTAGTTAATAAAACCAAATTCTTACGTCAGAGTTTTGTGTATTTGTTCTATGGCATCTTCTAATTCTTCTTTTTGGTCAGGAACAAAACGGTACTCTGAAACATAACTTGCAGTGTTCTTGCATGGATCATAGTCTCCAAGTTCAGCTATACAATGCACACAAAATATGAATTATTTGATTGCATACTTTTATAGATATTCACATAAAATATTTTATTGAAATTATACAATTAAAAATAATCTAATCTTAATTAACTAAATTAAACTAGATTATACCATTTAATTTAAAAAGGGGAACATAAGAATATGGGGGGAAAATGAGAACAAAAACATTCATTCCTACAGAAAAAATTAACTATGGATCCCATTTTACATGTTGCAATAAAACAGGCATTACAATGAGTATGGGGTATCCTGTGCCTGACCTGTTTTTCTTTTGTCCCTTGCAGAGAAGAAAAATGAGAGAAAAGGAAATTACAAGAGAGTAAGCAGGCATATAGAGGTGAATATATATTGTAAGAAATGTAGTGGTGCTAACAGTCCCAAGCACAATATATTCCCCATAGGATGCCTGCTTACTCCCTTGTAATTATTTTTTCACCAATTTCTTTGCTGTGTAAGGGAACAATGAGAAGAAATTGGATCAGGCACAGGAGAAATTGCTTATAAAGATAACCTGTTTTTTTTCCTTCCCATCTTGCAGAGACAATTGCTTAAACAACAGCGGGGGAGCGGGGGGTGGGGGTGGGGACAAGCAATCTTTGTAGGCAATCTCTCCTGCATTTGACATGTCCGCCCCCCCCACCAGTAGAGACTGGAGAGTAATGGATTACAAGAGAGTAATAATACACATGATGGGGAACATACCAAACTTTTGCATAGCACATTCACAGCTACCAGTACCACTTCATTTCTTTCGATGTATATGCCCCATTGTGTGTCTCCTTACTGTTTTGTAATCTATTCATGAATGTAAATACAGACATTAATTGCCTTATTAATTATCCCAGTGCTGTGGTGAGCATTCCAAATGGTGAAGGAGTGGGGGGGGGGGGAAGAAAGCAGAAGTAAAATTATTAGGTGGCAAACAAAAGCTTCAAGTGTGAAACTGATTAGTCTGGTCAGTTATAGATAGGAGCTGCTAGTTGGCTATCCCATTACTGGGATGAGCATTCCAAAGGATGGAGAGGAGGGAAGAAGGAAAACACAGTCACAGTCATATGGTTTCCAACTTAGTGACTGCTTCGCTTAATGATAATGACATATGGACCTCAATCATTTTCAACTGGGAAACTTAATATTTTAGAGCAAGCCAAATCCAAAAATCCTAGAGGATTCCTGAAAGTTTGGCATTCGGATGACTGCCATCAATAGATACATAGAAATAAACTTCATTTACACACTATTTAAAAGACACAATCAAAAAGTCTAGGAAGGAAAGATATAGCCTAGAATATAATCTCTCTAGCAACCAACACCCAGGTTAGCAGGAAGTAGCAACAGATAAACAATCAAGGGAGAAGTCACACTCCAAGATTGGTGGCAACCTAGTAATGGTAGTCCTCCCTTAATAACACTAATTGAAACTGGCAACTCAGCACTAAGGAAAGCAGTCACTAAGTGAGAAATCACGTGCTTTCTGGTTGGAAAGAGAGATAACCACTCAGTTTCACATTTGCCTTTTAACCATTCCCTTCATCCTTTGGAATGCTCAAGTGCCTGCTTACTGTCTTGTACATATCAAAAGCAACGCAATTGCACCTGCAAACTGGTGCTGGGACATGTAGGCAGGCTATGCAAACAGCTTAAGCACTCTCTTGAAATCTCTTCCTCTCTAAACTCTATATGTATTATGTTACTCTCTGCAATTCTATCCATATTGCTATATTTTTCTTTTGTATTTTTTAAAATAATTTTCAATAAAAATTTATATAAAAAAAGAAATCTCTTCCTCTCCAATCTCGGGGGTGGGGGGTGGGGGGGTGGAGCAAGCAATTTCTGTAGGCAATCTTTGCCTGAGCCTCCCTGATGATCTTCAATATCTCCCTCAGTTCTGAAATTCTTCAGAATGATACTTTGAAAAGAAGATATTGGATTCTAGACTGAAGACAGAAAAGAGTGAAATGATGATTCTTAAGAATTATTAAGTAGAAGCCCAAAAGTTACAATACTAAAACAAGCAAAAATGCTAACATTGCCTAATACATTTAAAAGAATGTGAAGGAATTGGGTGGTTGTATAATTTTTTAAGTGAATAAAATAATAAATTTGTTTTATTTATATATTTATTAAATTTATATCCTGCCCATTTCTCCATCAAGTGACTCTAAATAAAACAAAATCATTACAAAAACAGTCTGGAAACACTCCATTACCATAAGATATACAAATTCAATATAGTTGAACATTTTATGATTTGGTCCTACATAAACTGAGCTCAGTTTTGTATGAGTTAAAACTGTACATATATTCACTTTGCAAAGTAAATACTAAAGAAGACTTAGCTCTTTTAAAGGCTAACTTATCTGTGGTGGCAGAGTTTCTGTGGACTATTGCTCCCTTCCCCATTGAAAATTTAATATGGGCTGGATCTCTGATAAAGTTATCATTTTTAGTGTGCAAAAGTACATGCAACAGCAAATTTTGGTAATCTTGAATATTGTCCAAAAGCTAATCTAGTGCATTAGGCTTAGTAAACCTAAACCATTATGTTTGAAAGAGGAATCAATATTTTTTTAGGAAACCATGACTAAAAATGCTGATCTTACATTATGTGTGAGTCAACCTTGTGTGAACATAGGTACCCAATGCATGTGTTTATTATCCCTCTGGAATGCATCTTGAAGAAGAAGAAATTCATAACAATCCACTATATTCAACTCAAAGAAACACAGGCTTTAAGATATAATCAACCCTGTACTGCAAATAAAAAAGGGAAAACTGTATCAGCACATACCCTGTATTGCATAAGCTCCCAACTGAGCAGCAATATTGACAGGACAAGGCAAACGCCCTTGTAAGACATCTTGCTTTACCTGCAAAAAGAACTGATACCTGAAAAAAAGGCAAAATGAGCATTAGCACATACAATTGTATACTGCTTAACATGCTCATTTTTCTATGCAACAGTTTTATTTATGCTATTTAATTTATACTAGTATTGTTCATTTCAGTTTGAGATGGGATTGTGTTTTAAGTTAGTTCCACATGTATTCAAATGTATATCAATTCCATCTTATTTCCACATTAGCTTGTAATGTTTTTCACTATTTTCATAAATAATTATCCTTGGCATATTCATTTTAGACATAATTTTTAAACTGAAAACTACATAAAAATCTATACTATATATGCCTATTTAGGAAGGTCATATTTCATCTATTATAAACAATTCATCTGTTTGGTTTATTTATCTTTAGTTCAGATGCAAATTATTTTCCTCTTTCAAATATACGTGAAATTAAGGATGCTGGGCATGGATATATTTATTGAGAATCCTTTTTTAATTGTTATTAGTTTTAAATCTTTATTTGCTTTGACATCCTTTTTGTCAAGAGTGCCCCTTACAGTCCATAGTCTTAGAATTAAGAATCTTTATAGAGAGAGATGTTACTATTTTAATATTATAGTATTATTATTATTTTTATTTTTAATTTGATTTATATGCCGCCCTTCTCCGGAGACTCAGGGCGGTTTACAATGCATTAAGCCTTCATACTTTTGTATATTTATACAAAGTCAACTTATTGCCCCCACAAACTGGATCCTCAATTTATCCACCTTAGAAAGGATGGAAGGCTGAGTCGACCTTGAATATAACATAGTATTATATATAGTACTGTGTTGACAACCTTAGCTTTTAGTGATCTTTTATGTCTTTTATGTCTTATAAGTTTCAGTTTTGTTATTGAAATGGGTGTAATCTTTCCTTATTATATTTTATGCTGGTCTATGATTAAAGTAAGGATTTAACTGACTGATTGATATGGCACTATGGTATTGTATGCTATGAATACCATTCAATTAACATTAAGAAGTGAAAGTTGTGTGTATAGTGAATAGGCATAAAAAGCATCTACCAATTTAGATGAAACATGTCTGCATTACTAAGTTTGAAACATTTGCAAAACACACACTCCATATAAGCCTAACTTCAATTAAGATGACTAAATGACACTGGTTCCTACATATATTCATGCATTCAGCCATTAACTGTCTGCAAAATAAAAACCTTCATTTGTGAGGTTGTTGACCCCGATAACGTTAAGTTTCAAGGCTTATGCTAAAGTCAAACCACACCACGTTACAAAAGGGTTTCCCTTACCAAACAGCTGCACAGAAATCACAACTATCTGCAGAAACCAAACACAGCTTGAATGTAAGGAGTAGGACTCATTGAATATGCTCATCTAGTGAATATCCTGGATTTACTTAACAAAGGATCAAATCTTAAACTGACTTAGCATTTAAAATCCTGGCAAATCATGTAAAGTTTATTGCAAAGAATGCTTGGTTTCTTTTTCTGAAATCCATGTTTCTTTCAACAGAACATGTTTCCATCCTTTAGTACATTTAAAAACATTTCTTGTTTAACATCTTTCTTAATTAAAGCAGAACAGATGGCTATATAGCCTATTAAATTTCACCTACAAATACTTTTTTCATGTAGAATATTTCTCACTCTGTTGCACTTATCAGCTACTAAACCAGATATAATAGTGTAATAATTATAAAATGTAAAAGGTCACTTTATGTTACAGAGAGGGTACATAACAAGTACACACCCATATTTTGCTCCCTCAAATCTATGCACTGGAGCAGAGAAGGCTGTAAATAGGTAAATAAGCAATAAATATAGAAATACATCAATTATTTTAGATTTTACATTGCTCTGGCATGATCTACTGTCACCCATGAAACTGCTTTTGTGTTTCAGAACAGTAAATTATCATGCAAATTATGTTTGCTGGAACCAAGGTGGAAGTTGCAGCACACTTGAACAGGTCCATTTATAATGTATACAGAATCTGATGATCAAACATTCTTTATAAATAATTTACAAGTGTTTATATGACTTTTGATCTTTCATTATAGAAATATATAAAATATTTCTAATATAAAATACAAAAATAAAATATATAAAGTATAAATATGAAATGTCCATTTTACTTCTAGAATGATAGTGATTAATGCTATGAATGTAATTAATTATTTTTGCCCTTAATACATTTTTGTCAACAAAGAAAAATGATGTATATATTACTATCAATGTGTGAAATTAGACATTTTATAGAAAGCCTAGGCTATCTATAGAATGTCAAAATGGGATGTCAAAGTATAAAATGCTTAATATTTCACACAATTCTACGTAATACCAGAAGGCAAACTGCTCAAATATAAATACTCCCACTAAAATGCCATCTAGCTTTCCTTGTTGCAATGTGTAGGTCAATACTGGTCTTTTTCTCTTGATTTTTTTTTTCAGTAAGAACCTCGTTTTGCATTTATTCTTACATTTTCACATACATCTTTTCAAGAAAGAGTTACTGTTAGGCTTAGGCTAATCGTACTCGAACCCTAATCCCAAACCTTTTTATGACTCTCTTTTCATACTTTGCCTAAATAGTTCCTGTTATTCTGCATAATGCCTAGGTAGGTATTATATACAATGCCTAGCGAAAATATATAGCATATTAAAATAACACAGAAATTTCATACTTCGCATAAAATCTTCACACAGTCCTTAGATTTCCATTATATGCAATGCCACCTTTTCACACATTGTGAAGATATATACCGGAAAATGAATCTTTTGGATTCCCTATTTATTTACATTTTATGTTTTGTAAATTCCTTCCTCCCTTTCCCAAATATTTTTCTCATCAGAGCATCCAAACAACACACATGCACACAAAAAAGCAGTACAAAAAATTGGACTGTGCACATATAAAGTTAAGACCCATTGGATTGAACATTACTGACTCTCACTAAGACTCAAGTGATTTGAATAAGCTATTTCTCACTATTTTTAAAATACCATATTGTTTAATACTGAATAAATTAAAGTATCACTACTTTTCCTTTGCCTTGAAATATAGTCAATTATCAATCTACTTTAAAATCATATTAAGTCTTTTTTTTTTTTTGTTATTGTTGTTAAGAGTACCGTACCTCGTGATTTCTTCTTTTAGTTTGCATGGATCTTCTGCATAATATTTAACACCAAAATACAATGTGTAAGGTGGACCAGCTATTAGAAATAAGAAAACTACATAAAATTAAATGCATAAGCATATAATTTATAATTTACTTTGATATCTTATATTTCTTTGATACCTTATTCAGTCAAGCATTCACCTGCTTTTGTTTGTGATTTTAGTTATATAACAGCTATTAAATTATCTTCCCGGTTTTTTTTCTTAGAACACAATTCAAAATCTATTTACATTGGGATGCCCCAATTAATTTTCAGATATTAAAACTGTAATATCAATATACCATACATACATATGCATGCATGCATACATACATACATACCAGTGGTGGGATTCAAATGTTTTTTTCTGCCAGTTCTGTGGGTGTGGTTTGGTCGGCGTGGCGTGGCTTGGTGGGCTTAGTGGGCATGGCAGGGAAGGATACTGTAACATCTCCATTCCCTCCCCACTCCAGGGAAAAGATACTGCAAAATCCCCATTTCCTCCCTATCAGCTGGGACTCGGGAGGCAGAGAATAGATGGGGGCGGGGCCAGTCAGAGGTGGTATTTACCGTTTCTCTGAACTACTCAAAATTTCTGCTACCGGTTCTCCAGAACTGGTCAGAACCTGCTGAATATCACCTCTGATACATACATACATACATACATACATACATACATACATACATACATACATATATAGACACACACTAGCATACAGAATTGATATAGCTATAATATCCCCACTGAATTTTTTGGGCAGGAACCATAAGCTATCAAACTTGTTCATACACACCCCAGAATAAAACAGAAACAGGATTGAAATAAGAATGTTTGTACACAGGTGGAAAAATAAATTTTAGCACTCAAATCAGTATGTTCAATTTTGAGATTGATCAATATTTCTACATACAAAAAAAAACTCTCTAGAATTTGTGTCAGATTTCTCAAAAAGATTGAATTTACAGATATACTTTCTAAGCTCTCTGTCATTAAACAATATTTATATTCAAATTATATACATACTATTTATGAGTTCCTTATGCTCTGCAAGAGTCTTTGTAGGATCCAGCCAGAACTGTAATTATATAAAGAAATGGTTAAGTTATTAAAAATATGTATCAACATATATGCTACTTACAATACAAGAAATTAAAACTTTTGCCATAGACAAATCAAATCAAAATATGATACAAAATCTTCCTATAATTTTTCCCCACCACTTTATTGCTGTTGAAGAGATTTCGGTGCAATATATATGTTTTAAGATTAAAAAAAATAATGCCCCTAAGTCTGCCCATGCTAAAAATATAGAAAACCGCACCCCAAAATCAGTAATGTCTATCACTAGCCAGTTTGGTCTAATGATTAAGGCACTATGCTAGAAAACAGGAGGATGTGAATTCCAGTCTCATTTTAGCCAGCTGGGTGATTTAGTCCAGTCACTCTTCTCTCAGCTCAACTCACGTCACTAGATTGTTGCTGCTGTAGAGAAAGTAAGAAAAGGAAGGTGTGCTGGATATGTTCACCACCTTGAATTATTTACAAAACTAATAAAAGTGGAATACAAATAAATAAATGAGGGTGAAGGTTCCTTCTCTGAGCTTCTGGGTTGGTTTCTGAACATTTCATTACCAGGCTAATTAACATCTTTAGTGCAGTTTAGGGGATGTCATGGTCAGTGTTCTTCTGTTTATAAGGTCTTTATGTGGTCAGTAGGTCTTGTGATAGATCAGGCATGGGTGTATTCGTATTCCAACATATAGCACCCGACCATCACACGGCCAACCACCACGCAAACTACCACCTCTAGGCAGTGGTGAAATCTGAACCGGTTTACTACTGGTTCGCTGGCTGTGCATGCGCAGTGCGCACCACACACCAAATGTGAGGTGCGTGCATGCAGTGCACGCCAAAAGGAGGCGTGCAGTAAGTAGAACAGCGTGCATGGGGAGGTGATCAGCTGTGGTGCCCAATCTTTTTTTTACTTTTAAAAGCATTGCTTTTAAAAGTAAAAAAAAGCCTCTGATGATCACGCTGCTCAGCTGGGCATGGGGGGGGCAGGGATTTTTGCTACCGGTTCTCCGAACAACCCGCCGCCATCGCTACCGGATCGGGCGATCCAATCCGAACCGGGAGCATTTCACCCCTGCCTCTAGGAATAGCAATAGCCCACAAGCCCACAGCCACACTCCACCAGGAATTATCCAGAACCAAAGACAAGATATACAAGGATGAAAGAAGCAATGTGATCTACAAAATCAACTGTAATCATTGCAATCAATTCTACATGGGACATCAATTAAAAACCAGGATCCACGAACACTGGCTGGCAGTCAAATGCCATGACCCCAAATCTTTAAACTCTACTCACACCGACAACAGTTTGATTGGAGTAACACAAAACTCATCGACCACAATACCACCCGCCACAATTGTGAGTTCACCAAAGCCTGGCACTCCACAAGCAATTCCATCAACAGACATCTTACAAGCTTCTCAGAATCCAAATCAATCACAGAACTAATCAGAGACAGCACCGAACCTCAACCAACCCATGCAAGCCCCCACCAACCAGCACTTCACCTCCCAATGACCCTCACTTCATGTAACCTCCCCATCACAAGACTCTCACTGATGACTCACACCTGGCCCATCACAACACCCTCACTTGATACACCCACACCTGATTCATTGTAAGACCCATGACCACATGAAGCCCTTATAAAGAAAACGACACTGACATCTCCTAAACTCTGCTGAAGATGTTACCTAGCCTGGTAACAAAACATTCAGACACCAACCCACAAGCTCGGAGAACGAACCTTAACTTCATCCTACACCCGAGCTACAGATATTTGCCACTATTGCAAATAAATAAATGTTCTCCAGATATTACTAAGTGTTGTATCTTTTTATTCTTGATTAATGTATTTTATTCTCCTTATGTACACTGAGAGCATATACACCTAAGACAAATACCTTGTGTGTCCAATCACACTTGGCCAATAAAGAATTCTATATTAAGAACATTTGCACACATTATGTGTCAACTCATTAGGTTCAACCTTTTTCAGTCTAGTGTCTGCTAAACTACAACTTTCATTAATTTTCATCTGCTTGCCCTCTATTTAGTATTTTTTGTCTTAATATTTATTAGTGTTGACTGAGAATTGAAGAGCACATATTTAAAAATATAGAAAAATAAGTTATATGAATAAACGAAAGTGTTTTTAACATAAACTATAATTAGAGTGGGTCCAACCTTACTTCTCAATTGCCCTCTGACAATAATATTTTAGAGATAGTAAAATTATCTGCCAATTAATGTTCATTTGTACTCATGGGTAATAAAATCGAGAGCTAAATCAGAACAAATCAAAGTTAAAATTGCCAATTGTTCTTGAATGGGAAATATATAATAATAACTTATTATTATTATTATTATTATCATTATCCTGTATAACAAATGAGCCAAAAAGACCCACCAAAAAAGGAAACATGGTCTGAAAATACATAGAGTTGAAACATTTCAAAGAAATCAACAAAATTAAAAATACAAATTAGCAACATAATATTTGCTACTGCATTATTTCATCAATTGTGTAAGTATATGTACAGGTACATTTGTAAAAGCCAAATATTTTTCTGTATAATTCTAAGTGGCAGTTGTGATTATCTTCAGGCCAATAATAATTACTAGTATGGCTTATTTCTCAAAGTTGCAGGAAAACCTTACAAACTATATTAGAAAATACATCATTATTAGCAAATTAGTAGAATATACTACAATTCCATATTGGCTGAAACCAAGCAAAAATATTAGAAGAGATACAACATATTTAGAAGAGCCTTCAGCAAAACATTGATCAAAAAAGATATTTGAGCTCCTTCCTGCATCAAATTGCAGATTCCAAGCATACTTTTTAAATACGTATGGATATACATTTTGTTTCAGGCAAATAATGCATAAATAATATAGATGCCAAATCATTAGAGAAGAAACATGAAAGAACATGCCTCTCAAACAAATACTCAAGCTTACCAAAATACATTTACCAATACTGCAGCTTCAATAAGGCATTTCTGTATAATTTGTATGAATAACTGCAGGCCTATCTATATCATATACAGAATCCTAACACAGACTTCTATTCTCAGCAAGAAAAGAGGCAGATTATATCCCATACCAATTATTTTAAACAGAGCTTCTAAGGCTGTCACTTCAGTAAACAGTAGAAATCAAATAAAGAGTACCGAAAAGGAGAGACAAAGCATAGCTATAGCAAACCAGATCCATTTGACCAAAATGTCAGATGATTTTCCTGACAGAAGAATCTATAACTGATCAGGTTATGAATCTGACCATAATCATTTTTATCCTTTAGTGTCACAAGGGGTAGATTTCCAGTAGTATTCCTTATAACCAGCTACAGGTACCTGAGCGCACTTGTAAATGGATCATAAGCTTCCTAACAAACAGGAAGCAGCAGGTGAAGCTAAGCAGAATCATATCAGATACTTGTACAATTAGCACAGGGCCCCCACAAGGCTGTGTGCTCTCCCCACATCTCTTCTCTCTGTATACCAATGACTACATCTCTAACGATCCATCTGTTAAACTACTGAAGTTTGCAGATGACACAACAGTGATCGGTCTCATTCGAGACAATGATTAATCCGCATACAGACGGGAGGTTGAACAACTAGCCTCGTGGTGCGACCAGAACAATCTGGAACTGAACACACTCAAAACCGTAGAAATTGTGGTAGACTTTAGGAGAAACCCTTCCATACTTCCACCTCTCACAATACTAGACAACATAGTATCAACAGTAGAGACCTTCAAATTTCTAGGTTCTACTATATCGCAAAATCTAAAATGGACAGCTAACATCAAAAATGTCATCAAAAAAGCACAACAAAGAATGTTCTTTCTGCGCCAACTCAGAAAGCTCAAACTGCCCAAGGAACTGCTGATACAGTTCTACAGAGGAATTATTGAGTCTGTCATCTGCACCTCTATAACTGTCTGGTTTGGTTCTGCAACCCAACAAGACAGACACAGACTTCAGAGGATAATTAGAACCGCAGAAAAAACAATTGCTACCAACCTGCCTTCCATTGAGGATCTGTATACTGCACAAGTCAAAAAGAGGGCTGTGAAAATATTTACAGACACCTCGCATCCTGGACATAAACTGTTTCAACTCCTACCCTCAAAACGATGCTGTAGAACACTGCACACCATAACAACTAGACACAAGAACAGTTTTTTCCCAAACGCCATCACTCTGCTAAACAAATAATTCCCTCAACACTGTCAAACTATTTACTAAGTCTGCACTACTATTAATCTTCTCATCTTCTTATCTTCTCATCGTTCCCATCACCCATCTCCTCCCATTTATGACTGTATGATTATAACCTTGTTGCTGGCACGATTTATATTGATATTGTTTCCTGATTGCTTATTTGTAACCTATGACTATCATTAAGTGTTGTACCTTATGATTCTTGATGAACATATCTTTTATTTTATGTACACTGAGAGCATATGCATCAAGACAAATTCTTTGGGTGTCCAATCACATTTGGCCAATAAAAATTCTATTCTATTCTATTATCTCAACAGAAGTTTGGGACTTTTCTGTACTGCATCTTTAAGCTACTTCAGGTGGAAAGGACTTAAGAAATCCCTTCTTTATAAAAAAAATTCCCTATTGTTTTACAATTCTGCTTATCATTTGGGCTCAAAATGAAACTGGCAGAATTTTGTCAATTTCACCTGGTTAAAAAAGATATACTGTTTCAAAATTTTATCAGTGAAATTAAAAAAAAAGAAAGAAAGAAAAAGAAAGAAAATAAAATTAACTATGTTTATTGATATTTAGCCTAGATTGAAGAAGAAACTAGCAGAATTCTTGTCAATTTCATGTGGTTTTAAAAAAAAAGTAGGTCCACCATTTCATTTTTTTTATCAGGAAATGTGTACAAAAAGGCTTAGCATTCCACTTTTGCACAGTGAGTTTATATAAAAATAAAAGCAAATAAACTCCAGCATTTCACCAGTGCATCAGGAATAGAAAGAAAACAAGCATATGAACATAGATTCACTGATCAAAGTTTCTTTGGAAGAGAGCAGCAGCCCAACACAAATTGGCCATGGAAGTGAGCAACCAGTCATTGGAGCAGATGGGTTGTTCTTGCCACAAAGAACAGTATTAGACATATTTATTTACTATGAAATTAAGTACAAGAGATATAAATTGAACAGTGTCATTTGTGCCAGTACAACCATACTACATGCTTGATGTGTGTAGCAGAAAAAAAATTGCCTTCCTGATACACCGGGGGTGGGGGAGATAGAAGATAATACTGCACATGCCTGCCCTTGAAAAATGCTTATTAGCCTAAACCACCACTGGATACACTGATCAGATGGATCAGATCTTAGACTCATATGTCCCTGTGCAATATCAATATATTTTGCTTGCACCCATCTTGCCGAGAGACAATTATGGGTAGCTTACAACAGTAAAAGCAATAAAACCATACAGAACCATATATCTAACTGTAATAAAGATACAAATTATGACCTTTTCCCCCAAGTCAATAGAAAGTGTTCAATGTGATGAAAACATGGAAATGTCCAACATTTCCATTTCTCACTTTACCCATCATATCAGGGCTCAAAGTATATGAAATAGTCCAAACCAAGTCTTAAAATGGGGTTCTTACAAAAGGAAGACAATAGAGTATAATGGCATTTGGAATGTCATATTTAATAGAATGCAGAATTGTGCAGCAGGCCAGATTTTAATATGTAGGTCAGATTTTAACTTTCTAATACATTCCATGACCAATCCAAGTCACTGAAACATTTTATGTTTAGCTACAGTAGATGATTTTATGGTGTAGAGCACAGGTGTCAAACTCGTGGCATCACATTGCCATCACGTGACGTATCACAACGTTATTCCCCTTCGCGGAGCTAGGGTGGGCATTTCTTGTACATGACGCATCTGGCCTGCAGGCCACCAGTTTGATACCCCTGGTTTAGTGACTCATTATTATGATTATTAATTCAAATTTAAATTCAATATATTAAACATGTTTATAATAGACCTTTAGTTAAGTTAAAAAAACTTTAATCATGTCAGTCATAATCAAAATGTCTTTTGTTGTCACTTAAATACTCATAAATACAAACCCTCCTTTCTTTCTCCCCTTGATCTTTTTGTAATGTCCATTTTATTTACCCATTAAAGCGGGAAAAGAATATGATTTGATTTATTGGATTTGATAAAGTGGCCTAACTCCCAGAGGGTTTTGGGCAGCATCCAATCATTCCAATACATAGATTATAAAAACATGTTAAAAAACCACACAGCTGCCCAGACCAAACAACACTCGCCAACATATAGAAACGTAGTAGGGTCTCTAACTGCAGTCTTGGAACAAAGTCAGATCTTAAGATATTTCCAGAAACCAAGGAGAGTAGGAGCTATGTCTTCTGCTGTTCCTGAAGATCCAGGCATCAACAGGGAAAGAATGCACCCTCACTGTCTTATCCCCAATAAGATAATATTTAATTGATGGGACTTGAAACACACCCGCTCTGTCTGAAAGCACAGGATGGGCAGAAACAACTGGAGACAGGCAGTCTCTCAAATGCAATCTCTATATCATGAAGGGCTTTATAGCACCTTGAACTGCACCCAGGAGTCAACTGGAAACCAATGCAGCACATGTAACAGTGATGACACATTGGCATAGCTGGAAGCATCTGTTATTGCTTGAACCATTATAATTTGAACCATCTGAAGCTTCCAGATAGTTTTCAAAGGCCAGGTAGGACTTCTTACAAATTTAGAACATTGCTGTAGGAAGCCAAAATACAAATACAACTTTGTTTTATTATATAAATCCCTATATGGATTTATTTAAACTAGTTTCAACACACACAGAGACTACAAGTTACTTCTTATATGAGCAACATGATATTGCTAAACCCAGCCCACGTATCTCATTAAAATCATTTAGTTACTTCAATCAACTTAATACTGTTCTTGATCTCCTATATTTATTTAATTCCATTTTGAAAAGCAGTTTAAAAATTATGCAATAAAAGAATGCATGTAAAAAGGTAACCTAAGAAAATAGCACATATAATATATGTATTCCTTACGATAATGCTTGCATGTGCCATTCATAGATAACCTGAGCAGAGGATGTATTATAGAGTAGTTTCCTTACTGGGGAATTATTTATTTTCTATATCTTTATTCATTTAACATTGCCTGTTCTATAAGAAAGTTTCTCAAATACCATAGTGTAGTTAGTATATTAATAAGAACAGATGTATACACACAGAAATGGGATATATACCCTGTTTCCCCCAAAATAAGACATCCCCTGATAAGCCCAATTGGGCTTTTGAGCACATGGCAATAAGGACAAGCGCTTATTTTAGGGTTAAAAAAAAAAATAAGACAGAGTCTTATTTTTGGGGAAACACAGTATTATAATTATTTCATATAGGGGTTTTTATACAGGTAGACAAGTTGAAGTTATCTGCACACCCCAATGAGCTTCTATTTAATTACTATAAGATTTTCCCAGGTGCATAACTATAAATTGCAGATCTGTATATTATACTTCCATAATTTTTAACCTGATTTCATAGAATATTCCATTTTTAAAAAAAAAAATGATTTATATGCCGCCCTTCTCCGGAGACTCAGGGCGGCTTACAGTGCGTTAAGCAATAGCCTTGATACTTTTGTATATTTTATACAAAGTCAGCTTATTGCCCCCACAAACTGGGTCCTCAATTTACCTACCTTAGAAAGGATGGAAGGCTGTGTCAACCTTGAGCCTGGCAAGATTCAAACTTACTTTAATTGCAGACAGCTGGTGTTAAATTACAGTGCCTTGTCTGCAGAGCTATCCAGGCTCCATTTCAATCCAATGTATGTTATCACAAAAGTCTTTATCTTCATTAGATTATACATTCTAATGTATAACGTATTTCAACATATACAATGTATAATATATTTCAACATATAGTAATATGCAGGTATGAATGCATACAATAAATTATAGTCTTTTAACCAGTTTTACCTGAGTTGTTTGTATAACTTGAAAGACAAGATCAGTTTTATTTTTGCTTCTTCGCCACATGACAACTATCATCAATATTAGTATTATCTAGTTCTGTCAGTCAGATACAGTGGTGAGCTCTGCTGGTTCGGACCGGTTCAGGTGAACCGGTAGTTCCGATGATCAGCTGGCCCCGCCCACCTACCCCACCCTATCCTGTCCTATATTTCCTTCTTTCTGGCTCATCTTATTTGCGCAGCACAGATGATTTCTGTGCCTACTGTTCTACTTACCCGGGCTGCATTAAAAAGTAAGCAGCTGATCTTCAAATTGCCGTATTTTGAATGCTGCGTGCAAGTGTGTTAGGCATGCACGCGAAGCCCGTGTGCGCATGCGAACCAGTTGTTAAGCCAGTTGCAGCCCATCACTGGTCAGATACATATATATTTGTTTCTCTGCAGGACTACAAGTATCAGTCATATAATTTTAAACCAATTCCCTCAAAATATGGAGCTATTCTAATAGTGTTCTGGGAGAAAACTATGAGCATTTTACTGTATTAACAGATGAACAGCAGCACAAACATATATAAATTCTGATGTCCTAAACTGTAACATCTAAATCTAGCCTCTAAAATCAGTTTGAAATCAAAACTAGGCCTGTTCTTCCAATAATTAATACAATATTCCTATCATGCTGTTAAAACTGTTTGGGGTGATTTCTTTTGAATAATGAAGTTTTAGTTAACTGGAAAGTATCAAACCATTAATTTAGAATTTGGAAAGCCCTACTTAATTTTTAGGTTAATCATGTATAACATGCACAATCATGTTCACATCACGCCAACTTTATGACTCCTTTTCATCATTGTAATATATGTGGACAATTGTCCTAGTTTAAATAGTTAACAAAATAAATTGCATCATGTGAAATTTATTTCCCTATTGTCAAGTATTTCATCTAGAATAAGCCTTGAGCTTAGCACAGGATGTGCACTTTTGACTTCCATTGCCATAAAAATCTAACTAATGCAACTATCTATTGAACAGGGCACTCCCCATACATGCTATCCTTTCATACATATTTAGCATCAAGAATTATGAGATTAAAAGATGCCTGGTCAGACTATGCACTGATAGTTTGGTGATACTCAAAAATAACATGCAGGCAACTGAATAATCTCAGCATTAATATAACTTTTATTTTAGCTGTGATGTTTCCTCTTAGGAAACATTTACTTATTGACATGTTAGCCTTTTGAGACTTGGATCTATTCCTCTGAATAGGAAAGGTATTTTTTATACAGTTAATGACTAACCCTCCCCTCCAAAAGAATTCCTGACTTAATATTAATTTGCATGCACTAATGGGATATAGATTTTATCTGTTTAACAACTAACTTGCTGAGACAGCATATAATAGTGCAGAACAGAACTGTTTAAAAAAGAAAGGTCACTCTGCTATCTATTCTGAAATATCTAATCTCTTGTAGCTTTACTCACCGTCTGATGACTTCTGTCACAGTACCGCAGTCCAAAATAATCTATCTCAATGAGGTTTAAATGCCGGAATACGTAGCCCAGGACAACCGACCCTTTCGTTGATTTCTGTGGGAAAGAATGTGCAGAGACTTTTCATACAAATGGCCATTCTTTTGTTAGCTATACAGTGGCATTCATGCATTCAGCTAGATAAGTCTACCAGAGAAGACTGCATTATTAGAACTGGTCTTTAACAAAAATTGCAATGACAAGAAAGGTGTTTATTTTCCCGCTCATATTCGTCAGTCATTTTATAGAAAAGGCTGAGCAATTATATTGACAAGTTTTTAATCTCTAATATCATGAGGTCACATAATTATGTACTCAAACTGTGAACTGCAGTAATTCTGCATTATTCATTCTTGCCTGTATTCAAACATTCTCCTCAACACTTTGTGATTTCAGATTCCCTAAGGGAAGAGGGAAAACATCAGGCAAATCCATACACAGACTGATTTAATGAATTCAACTTTGGCATATTTATACATGCATTGCTAGTTGATATTAGTAATACTGTGGTTTATTGTAAGGGCATTAGTATATAGTGGTAACAGCTGTTAAACAACAAAGGCAAGAGACTACCTGTAGGAAAAAGGCCATTTATTTTACTTTGCTAGTAGTACTGTGTAAGTACATATTGTTAGCTGGACAATGAAGAAGTATGTTGTATGATGCTCTATAATTAAAATATCAGTATAACACATTTGTTTCTCTTTATCATACATTCATAAACAAGTTTTTTAAAAAGACTAAAGCACAGCAGAATTAAGCATGAAAAAATGAGAGTTATTATGCATTTAGTACTTAATAGGCCAACAACATGAAAAGAGAGAATATAGGCTTTGAATAAACAATCAAGCACACTCACACAGTTTAGATGTAAAAAAAGAATCAGAGAAAAATCTCAATAAAAAATAGCCAAGAAAAAAAAGAATTCCAAAGTCATTTTAACTTAATGTTCAAAAATCTGCAACACCTGTCTTTAATTACTTTAAATTACTTTTAAGACAAAATTAAAACATATAATCAGAAAACTAGCATAGAACAACAAAGACTTAAAAGCATGAGTATAAAATCAGTTTCAACCTATATTGAACATAAAATATTTTGGAGAAAAAAATGTAACTTTGTACAGACAGCCTTCTACTTACAAAGCTGTTCGTAAGTCCATTTTGTTCAAAAGTCCAAACAGGTATAAAAAACCCATATAAAGTACAATTCTTACTTTACATAAATTAAATTACATTTCTCCACCCAATCAATCAAGGACTAACCCAAACCCTGGGTTTGGGTACAGAGGACCTCTCCCGCATTGATCCATTGTGGCTTTGGCTGGTACGGCCAGTCTTCCCATGGGCTATTAGGACCCTTTTTAGGGAAGGGATCCCAGCAAGACAATCAGGTGCTGCCACCACATACAACGTGAGGGAGGACTGAACTGCACTACTCCATTCTCCACAGGAATAAGTAGGAGCATATTTGATGGGGGCTTCACAGTGGCAGGGGATGCCAGACTACAGGTCCCAATGGCTGTTCTTGCAGCACCTTATTTCTCTACCACAAACTTCTTCAGGCTTGTGTGTGTCTCAACTTTTTTTTTTCTCCCCTGATCAACCCTCATCCCAGGTTTGACATTCAGGTAGAGCAGACTCCTCCCTATCTAAGCAACCCTCTACCCGCATCCTTAGGGTACTTGGGCCCTCTTTCAGGCATGCTCAAGCCAGGGGTGAAATGCTACCGGTTCGCCCGAACCAGTAGTAAAAAAAATGCTTTAAAAAGTTAAAAAAAAAAAGTTCTGATGATCGTGTGGCACAACTGATCGTCAGAACTTTTTTTAATCCTTTTTTTACTATCGGTTCGGGGAGTAAAAAATGCTTTTAAAAAGTTTTTAAAAGGTTCTGATGATCAGCTGTGACACTCAGCTGTGTTGCGCAATCCTCGGAACTTTTTAAAAAAAAATTTAAAGCATTTTTTACTACCTATTGCCCAAACCGGTATTTTTGTGTAAAGTGTGATAGTTTGTTTTTGAGCTCTCTGTGACTTTGTGAGATTCCTACTTGTTGCAGGGGGCATTTTGTGTGAAGTCCAGCTGCTTTTGCATTGTGTGTGAGTCAGTTGTGTAGCTTTTGTGTTATTTTTGTATAAAGTGTGAAAGTTGGTTTTCCCAGTCACATGACCACCAAGCCACACCCACAGAACCGGTAGGGAAAATTTTTGAATTTCACCACTGGCTCAAGACCACCTCCACTCCACATTGCCAAGGCTGTGGAGCGTAACTGTCCTTCTCTGCAGTGTGCCACAAACTAACCCTTTCTTGTCTTTTCCCACCTTCTGCGATTTTCTAGGTTGGGGATGCAGAAAAGTTTGTTCATGTAGAAGAAAGTTTTTAACTTGGAAATTTGTAAATAGGGGATGTCTGTACCAAAATGGAGTATTAAGTAATACATGCATATACAATATAACATTTTAACAGTGCAGCAGCTATACCATAGACTTACATCTGTGGAACACAATCAAATGCCCTTTAGATTTTCTGATTAAAATTTTCAGGATTGCTCAGTTGGCTATATTGGAGCTTTCAGTCCAGAACAACTGAAGAGCATCAGATCAACTACTTCTACTACAATATTTTTTCACTGTTTGCATTTGTAACTGCTCCTTTCTTGCCCACAATGTGATTATTCTGTTGGTCCTGCAATGAGACAAAGCTGAACCTAGTAAATCCATGCCCAACTAGAGTCAGAAAGGCCTGTAACAGACAAGGCCTATAAATTGGGCAAAAAAATATTACAGGTAATCCTTGTTTAATGACCGGTTGCTTAGCGATCATTCGAAATTACAATGGAGTTCCCCAGAGCTACTTATGACCTGTTTTTGACGTTCCAATGGCCACACCCCCTTACAGTCACATGATCACACATGGGCACTTGGCAACTGGCTGCATTTAGTCATTGCAGCATCCCACAGTCATGTGACTGCAATTTTTGCCATTTTCTGCCTTTTACTTCCAGTTTTTATCAACAAAAAAAAAGGCCCATTAGGGAAAATGAATTTGCTTAATGATCACCACAAAAAAGGTCATAAAATGATGCCTGGTCAAATGGTGGTCCACTTAATGACCACCACAAGCTATAAGTGTAATTCCAGGCTCAATTATGGTCCTAAATCAAGGATTACCTGTACTGCTTCATTTCTTTGTCATGAACATGCATCTGTTCCCAAGTTTTCAGTAATTATATTTATTAGTATAACTGTGGCTGTATTGAATCTAGGTTATGCTTTCCGAGGATGCAGTATCACCACAAGCGCGTTAATTATTACTGTAGAAAGATGCCTTATTTTCCCATGCCACCTAGTGTGATTAACTTTGACTGACAATAGCTTTCAATATTCCAGGAAGAAATCTTTGACACAATGCTACTGAATTCTTAGCTATGGAGTTATACTGTATTGCTCCACTAAGCTATAGCTTCTGCATATAAATAACTGAAAAATTATATCTTTATAAAACAGTTCAGATACAAAGAGGAGGAAAAGAAAATTCTGAATCTATTTTAGTAGGCCAATATTTTATTTTACTTATCTTTATGAGTAAAGCTTGTGTTTGATAAACATATGCCACATTAGTTGAATAGAAATATAATAACTACTACAGAGATACACGTTTCATATGCAATCCACATTAGTATCCTATACTTTTCAATGTTTCTATTGGTATTCAGAACCTCTCACTTGATCTGCATTTACAGGAATCAATGAAATTCTTACATGAAATTAAGCTACTTCAGAAATGAGTCATGATGACTATCAAGTCTACATTGTAATGCAAAGCATATTCAACCAGTACCAGAGCTTTTTCCACCCTATGTTAAGACTGTTAAGAGTTTGCATTACTCATAAAAGAGTAGGGCACATGTCTGAACATAGTAAAGTAGACCTCTGATGGCTATAACTTCTTAGAATTCCCAGCAAGCATGGATAGCAAGAACCATGTAATGATGTAATTAGCATATGTGTACATTTGCGTAGGTGTGATCTTTTCCTCCTGCAAAAATCCTAGACTGGTTTGAACAACACAGCTGACTCAGTCATCCATTTCTCAAAGTAACAAACTCAACACTGCTCTACCAGCAGGACCAGGAATGATGGAGTCAAGCAGGTAGTGCTTGTTTTAGATATCTTCCCAGCCCCTACAAAAAAGATTTCCTCTAGTTATTTTTAGAATCAGTGGGGGGGGAATGCAAATCACTAGTGGCCCAATGGGAATCAACACAATACCTACCCCAAACAGTTTCTGCTCTTGTTCCACTTTCTTTGGTTGTGTATGATGGGTATAGAACAGAGCTAGTGTCTGTAGAGAAACCCCAGTTTTGTGGCACTATCCAAAGGCTTATCTTATCTTTGAGCGGTAGGAAGAGAAAGGGTTCAAGCTCCACTAACTTTGTAAGAACACAATTGACCAATGAAATCTATTAATCTTTCTAGTCTATCACTGCAGTCAAATGTTCACATGACACATTAATCCCCCTCCCTTTGACTGAGTTAAACAAATTATATAAACAAGGTCACTGACTGCATAACATGGCTGTATAGATTTTTGAGAGTGTCCTGCTTTGTTGAAAGCTGACCCAAAAGCAAAACTAAGGAACAATGTGGCATCCTGCTTCCAAACAGAGTCCAATCCTGATCATTACATACCCTTTGGGTAGAAAACTCCATCAGAAGGAGAAGAGAAAAACAGTGAATAACCAATCTGGACTGGGGATCTTTCTAAAATTTAAAGAGTTGGCTTTATACTTAAATCTCATAAAGGCTTACATTCTGATTAGGGAAAGATTTGAAAAATCATCAGCAAACAAAGAATTGTTCAAAATGAGTCATAAAGTTATGCTTTATTATGCAGCAGCAGTAAAAACCAGAAAAGCAGGTTTCTACCAGCTTCATAAAATGACAGCTAGAACCTTCAGAAAAGAGAGGTATTTTTCCTTTGACAGGAGTAAAATGGTACAGTAAAATATGGCAACATACTTAAAATATTTTGAAAAGAAAAGGGAAAAAATCTATAA